TGCAAGCGTTGAGGCTGCAACCCAGCAACAGGTTGGGACTTACCGTCCTAGCTATAATCTTTCCTTGATCGGTCGCGCCTCGCACGGCGTGACTCGATGGCTGGGATGGTCATGTCCCACGCCAACAATTCCCGAGTTCGAGGTGGACCTGCGAATGGATCCACCCGCTCGAACGTTAAGGAGCGTGCTGTACGGAAGGGAGAGAAGTGTACGCCTGCCTGTCTTTCAGCTGGCCTGGGCTATGCTTGTTGGGGATGGGAGATGGCTACGCGCGTCGATCGGCGGCACCGCGACACTAGGGTGGCAGCGCGCGTCGCAGCTACCCAGGTCGCCCGTACGTAGGGCTTGGCCGACAGCGTGAGGCCATCCCCAGCGCAGTTTGACCCAACGGCAGCCACTCTAACGGGACAGAACCCAGTTGTCTTTGCTAGCGCGAGCTCCCCACCGCCATGCGCAACAACGGAGCTGAGCGCTTCGACAATGTCTGTGTTTCCAAACGGCTTCGTGCTTTCTGTGCCCAAGGCAGCACCAAACGCGGCACGCCTCTTATTGACGCAGCCGCAGAGCTCGGTGTCAACGGAGGTCGCGGCTGCGCAGGTGGCGCGGTCGGCAGGTGCAGGAGGGTGCCGGGATGCAGCACCACCTCAAGAGCGCGATGACGCGCACAGCCTGATATGGTGTGCATAGTGTGCGCCCACGCTTTTTAAGAAAGCATCGCAGTACTCACTGCAGCGCTGGCATCAAGTCACTTTGGCTGAAGTGCATTGTATCTCTGGGCATGCCTATGTAGTTGCCCTGGATTTGAGGTTCTTTGAAAGCCTCAAGAATACACTCAAAAATACTCCAAGTGAAAAGCCTCAACCCTTGATGGTAGGGGTTTCAAGCCAGGATAAAAGTGGTTGCCCGTTTGCTTTGCAGCGGAGAAGGGTGAATTTTTATGACTCACGAACTTTGCATCACTTTGGACCCTGTTTTAATCATACATTCCGTCGACCTGTAGGTCCTGACGTATTGGAAAGCTTGCGGACACATGCAAACTAAATGATGTGTTCTACTATCCTGAGTTTTAAGCAAACGTGGTTGTACCTGCCAAAAACTAAGAACCACTTGAGTGCCATCCATATGGGGCGTGTGATGCCACCAGAAGAGGTGAGCACCAAGGGCAATTTTATCTTCTTGAGCAGGCCACACAGCGTATCAGTGAGAAATGAACACTTTTAGGGCGATTCGTCCACTTTGTCATGGTTTTTTCATCAAAATTGGTACTGGAGATGGCTGCATGTGAATATGGGTGCGCATGACAGCACTTTACCTTCAAGATGAAATTTCTGCAGCATGCTTTTATCCCAAGAGAATTTTGCTGTGGCTGCGATGATCACTTGTATTTGAATCCTTGCAGTGAATCATGCAGCTGGCTTGTTGTCTGCCTCAAAGTGGTTGTATGTGAGAATTCAACTCTATGGCGACTTTATTACCACTAGTGTGACAAGAAAGACCGCCAGTTGAAAAAGCTTCTGTTTGAATATCAATCCAATTTGAAGAGCAATCATCAGAACGGTGATCACAAATTGCTCGTTTTGGATATGATGGGGTCTCATCGCACTTCCACAACTTGTGCATAGTGTTTGATGGGATTGGGCCCACTACGCAAGAATTGAGCTTCTGATTAAACGGAGCTCAAACTTCTGTGATTATGCAGAACTACATGTTCTAGCATTGAGCAAATCCGAATCCTCATATTCTGTTGAGGTAAAGCTAACCACTTCTAACGAGTTTGGAGGTTTTTATCAGAATCAAATCGAGGATTTCTTTCTGTCAGTGAGACATTTTGACTCTGATTGGTTGAGCCGGTGGTAATTGAACCCTGGCAAATTTCGGAGTTATTCGCAGTGAGAAGTCGTGGTGTTCCCATGTTCGAATTACCAGTAATTGACCACTGATCTGCCTCCGTCAATTACTGATCTGTAATCCGATGATTAAATGGTGGCATATGAGAATCCCGTTTCGAGGAATGCCATCAACAATATCTTTGGATGGCTGTCATTTTTCTCGATGTTTCACATGCAACTTTCCAGTTCTCATAACTGGAGGTCAGTGGCTGAACACTGATGTGCAGTGAAACTCAATGAGAGCAGTGAATACATATCAAAAAGCCAAGCTAAAGAGATGAAAGTCTGACACACCATGACAGGCGCAGCTGCCATGTTATGCAAGCACCTGTTCATGTGCTGGTTGACTGGTGCACACATTGACCTGATTGAGATGGCAGGAGGACGGCCGGCCAACAATTAGCTTCAATCTTACTAATTTTCGGGATCACGAGTTGGCACTATGGAGTGGAGCTGTGGGTTGGTGCCATGGGTCGATGCCAGGGGTCGGTGCTGTGGGGTAGCGTGTTGTGCGTGTGCGAAGTGTGAGTTCAATCCGGCGCTCTGAGTGTGAGTGTTGGTGGGCAAAAAAAAGAGGCGCATTCTGGTATTTAAAGAGAGCCCGAGACTGTTCGTGGCTTCTCTTGGTTTGGTTGTAAGACAAGTTGAGTCTTGGCTGCTTGTCCGACCATGCACGGCGAGTGCGTTTGAGCACCGCGTGCACCAAGGTTGCCACAGAGGTCGAACCAAAACGGTTTGACTTGTGCTGCGTTGTGGCCCATCGCTGCGCGTGCATTCGATTGCGACGAGCGGGACCTCGAACCGGGATGGCTAAGGAACTTTATCAGGGATGACTATGGCGAAGTTCGCAGTCGCTATGGGGGACGCGAGAGCTGCAAAAACAATGCTGATTGGAGGACAGGTAAGTACGGTGGTGGCGGCAGCTGCGGCAGATGCGACCCCCACAAGTATATCGACCACGGGTTGTGGCCACACTTCTAACGATGAGCAGGACAGCCATCATGGATGCGAAACCTAAATGCCCTTGACACCTGAAAACGCGCCTGAAGCAAAGGCCATAGCATCATAGGAGGAATGGCACCTACAAGGATCGCAAGCAATACAGAGCCAGGTACCAAGCCTATCCCAGTGCTTGTGGCCATAGCTACGTGTCCGCCACAATGGCAAAGAGTTGGGCAGTGGTGATGCACGAGAGCCTGGCTTCGTTGACGAAACAGGTGGCGACGGCTGTGCACTTGCAAAGAGCCACGCCGGAAAGGCGACCATGTTGGCCAAGCGGACACACGCAGCAAGAAATCCCTTCATGCGGAGGAACCGGACGCTGCGATGCGCGCACTGCAGGTGGGAAGAGCGTTTTGGAACGAAAATTTTCATACATTTGTGTAATTATTTCAATTCCATTTTATTGCAAGGACAACGAACAACAAGCCACTGTGCCGTGTGGAGTGCCGGGACTGTTCTGCGGTGATAATAGATTGCCTTATTGACAAAATTGCCATCACGGGTGTTAATCCAGGGTATTTCTGAACTTTGCCATCGACTTGCACAACGCGACATTTGGGAAAACGCCGCACGGACCGTGGTCGATGCGCAGACTTCATTCTTGCATGAAGGCCGGCATTCTCAGGGCGAATGTGGCCCGGTGTGCATCCAGGTCGCTGTTCCTTCGGCACTGTTCGAGGCGCATTTGAAACCAGAAGACATCCAAATAATGCAGCGCGCACGCCCAGTGCTGAATGGCGGACCACCTTGGGGCATGGGGTGAAAGGGATGGCGGAGTCGGACGGACGTGGCCATCCTACATAGGCGTATTCTCTTGGCAGCCCACTGTGTGTGGGGCAGTTGGGAAGCAGGGAATTGCGCGGAAGCTGAGAGACAAAGCATTGATTTTTCACTCTTCGACATCCATCACCTTTGGCAAGGGGTGCATGGCCAAGGATGTATCAGACATTTGATTGGTGTAACTCAAGGAACTTCTCAATCCCTGTCCGCTTTCTGAATTTTAACATCAAATTTCGGCCAAGCCAGGAGTTTAGCGCCGCTGTGGCGTTTAAGTTAGCGCCGCTGCAACATGGCCATGCAGTCTATGTGCTGCACATCATGTTCATGGCACGAAGCGGCACAACGTCTTTCACAATCCTGCATCCCAACCATACCCCAGCCAGCTTCAGGCCGTCAATCCCTGCGCCAGTCGTCCAATCCGGAGCCGATGGCCCCGCTGTTGGGAGGCACTGATCTACAGTGGCCGCTGCTAATGGAGTAGCAGCAGTGAGAGTGATGTCACATATAGATTGACACTGACATCCCTGCGGAACAATCGCCGCTGATCACCGCCGTCTGTGCCCTTCAGCATGTGAAAGGCTAATGTACTGCGCGTCCTGTTCACTGCCCTTTACCCTGGACATGACCCACCGACAGCAGCCCCCCCAGGCAGCCACGTATGTTGTTATGGGGGCATCCTTTGGCATCAAAATGCACATACATGAGCTTTCCTTGGCACGCCATGAAGGTTATACAAGCCTCTTCCTGGCTTAACTTCAGTGCAATTATGTTATGCCTAGACACTTCCAGGCATTTTTTTCAAGCAAGGTGCATTGCCTGTGCTCGCAACCGATCCACTGGGGTAAAGAAAACACCGTGCATTCACTGAACGATTGCAGCACATGCCGATGCTGGGGATAAGGCGCAACTGTGTCGTCCATGAAATGGAGTGAACATAGGCGGGGCAATGGGCCGCCCCTTCGAAAGGGCGCGGTCACCGTAGTGGCGCGACCCAGGCGTCTCCAGCCCGTATTTTATTAAACCCTTCCACATAGCAACGTAACGCTTGGCCCGTTTTCGGGAAAAAATTAACAAAATTCTTGCGGAGCAACGAAAAAAAACAATTGGCGCTCTGAAACAAAATGCGGAGCAAGAGCGTAATGGTAAAATGTCGTTATGCGAAGGGTTAAATATCATACGGTTGGCATGCAACATGTCCCGCACACGCTGAACAAACCACACAAGACTGAAGCGATCTGCTGGACACAATCACCACCAACGCATTCACACTCCCCAAAGTTTGTTTGCCCAACGAAACCAAAGAATCCCCAAGCCGCCGTCCAAACCCGCTCAAATCGTCATTCCTGCGGGCATGCCCTCAGGCCCAAGGGCGCCAGGCGCCGCCTCCTTCTCACCCCCCTTCTTCTCCACCAGGACGGCCTGGGTCGTCAACATGATCCCGGCGATGCCCGCGGCATTCCTCAGCCCGCTCAGCGTGACCTTTGCAGGGTCGATGATGCCAGCCTCGATGAGGTTCTTGTACTGGCCGTCCATGGCGTCATACCCAAAGGCGAAGGGCTGGCCCAGCACCTTGTCCACCACGACGTCTCCCTCCACGCCCGCGTTTTCGGCCAGCTGGCGCAGGGGGGCGGAAAGGGACTTCATGACGATGTCTGCCCCCTGCCTCTCCTCCTCGTCGTCCAGCGTTTCCTTGAAGCCCGGCACCAGCTCGGAGATGTGCAGGTGCGCAGCACCGCCACCTGCCGTCCAGCACTCCAACCTCGGTTCTGTTTCCCCAATGCTCACGTTATGGACCCACAAACCCACAGGACCAGGTTTGACAATGCACTCCGAGAAGAGTTCAAAACAGCAATGACAGCACTGGGATGCACCGGTGCGATGTCAAGCAGCAGCAAGGTCACCTGTCCGAGGAGGCCTGCTGTCTCTGCCTCAAGTTGTGTGCCAATGAATGGATGAACAATCAGCTTCTGGATTAAAGGCATGTCTTGCTGCAAATGACCCTGCGTCACCTTTATTTGTGTGGTGTGGGCGATGATACATGCAATGGACGATTTGCCTTAGCACTTATACAATAACACAATAGTAAATGTGATGCATGGCCAGATTTCCCCCCCAGGTTTCCTGGCAAAGAGGCAGGGAAGGCCGTAATCCACAGTACAACCACCTGCCAGCAAAGGAACAGACAAACATCGGGCAAACCCACCAGGGACGATGCCCTCTTCAATGGCAGCAAACGTCGCATTCCTCGCGTCCTCCACTCGCAGCTTCCTGTCCTCAAGCTCTGTCTCCGTGGCTGCCCCCACCTTGATGACGGCAACGCCCCCAGAGAGCTTGGCAATGCGCTCCGCCAGCTTCTCCTTGTCGTATGTGCTCTCAGACTCAGTAAGCTCCTTCTTCAGCTGCCCCAGCCGCAGGTCGATCTCCTCCCGAGAGCCCGTGTCAGCGATCACAGTACATGCGTTATTCCTGACGGTGACCTTCCTGGCGACGCCGCACTGTTCCAGGGTTGCGTTCTCAACTGACATGCCCAGGTCCTTGGCGATGAACTCCGCGCCAGTGACTATGGCGATGTCCTGCAGCAGGGCCTTCCTCCGCTCGCCAAACCCTGGCGCCTTGACTGCGCACACGGTGATCACACCCCTCATCTTGTTGACCACCAACGTGGCCAGAGCCTCACCAGCAATATCCTCGGCGATCAGGAGCACTGGCTGGTTCACTTTCATTATCTGTTCCAGAATGCCGATGATGGTCCTGGCACTCTCAATCTGCAGAAGAGTGGCAGGCAAGCATAAGCATGCAGGAAGCAACACTGGCTGGAATGGATTGAATGAGCACATTCGTCAGAAGCTCATGACTGCCCATTGACATTCAAGGCGCTGGGGCCATTCGGCATCCTGCCACTGGTTTCTGGTGGACTATGTGAAGCCCATTCAGGGGAGGCAAAATTCAAGATTGCTGACATACTTGGAGATATGCTGCAAGGGGACAATAGCACATTACTGCCCAGCCATACTTGGTAAATAACATGAGCAACAACACATACCACCATGATGAACTGCTCCGATTTCGACTCTCCCACTCTTTGTCATGTCCTTTATCCTCCAGGGAGTATCATTGCAGTGTCTTGCTATGCGGCACAGTACCAAGACAAGGTCCTGCCTATTCCACCTATTCTGAGAAACATGGTGCAATTTTGCAATGACGACAAATGAAAAGAGGTACAGATGTTCACCCTCAATCGCAACCCCATTCGCACCTTGAGGTCTGTTACAAGAACTCTGCAGTTGTCGAACTCGCAGACCATGCGTTCGCTGTTGGTGATGAACTGGGGGCTGATGTACCCCCTGTCTATTTCCATGCCCTCCTGGACTTCAACAGAAGTATCCATGGTGTTGGATGTCTCGATGGATAGAACGCCATCTGCACCAACTTTGTCAATGGCTTGTGCAATCATCTCACCAATAGTCGAATCGTTCCCAGCAGAAATTGATGCCACATTCTGCAACAGTCACATGACCACACAAATTTGGGAATCGGCAAATGCTATTCGACGGCCAGCTTCTGAATTAGGCAAATTGTTTTCACAGGGCATCTGCAAGGGACATGATGTCCAGTCCATCACGTAAACAATCACATCCACCATAATCCCATTGTCACCCACAAAATCTCAGCACAGAAGGTTATGCACCCATTGTGACATTGATAGCCCAGAAATGGAGCCAGAACCTCCTTCGAATCTCACAAACGAATCAGCTCAAAGTCACTCCTGTATCTAAGCGTTCGCAATACCCATGGTGCTCACATTTGCTGTACTGCAATGCTAACAATACATAAGGCTCTTCTTCTGCCAGGTATTCAGTAGCAACTGGGTGCAGACACTGCACCCATTCTACTTGCATAACAACAAGCAGTCCACTGAAGATTATGATATCTTCCAGATATGATCTGAATATATATCATATATATCAGATATATATCAGATATAATATCATAATCATAATGATAATATATGATATGCATGATATATACATAATCATAATATATCTAACATATATCATATCTGATATGGATCTGAGCAGTCCACCTTAATGTCATCACGTCCATCCACTGCCTTGGCATTTTCTCTGAGCTTTTCTGACAGGAAGTCTACCGTCTTGTCAATGCCCTTCTTAATGTTGACGGGGTTGGCACCTGCAGTGACAGCCTGAAGTCCATAGTGGATCATTTCCCTGGACAGCAGGGCAGCCGTGGTCGTGCCATCACCAGCAGCATCATTCGTCCGCCCTGCAACCTGGCAATCCAACAGACATCCATCACAATAGCCAGCCTGGACCAGTCAAGGAGGTCCCAATACCATTGACATGGGACAACACTGGTGATGTGAAGTTGGCTGCACTATTGGGCAGACAGACTATGCAAGTTCTCTGCATTGGCACTCTTGGACCCCAAAAATGTTGCTCAACGTTGCTCACTTGTTGTCATACAAGGACACGCAGGCAGTGATCATCAATTCTCTTGACAACTACGCTTTCGAGGAACTGGCCCAACTCCAGGGGTCAACTAGTGAATTGCCAGACAGCTCATGAGCGCATACCAAAGGAAGGTCAATCCGCTGATTATGACAATGCTGTAGCATTTGGGACAGGCACATTTCAAAAACTCGCCATGGCGCAAAATGGCCGCCACCAATATTCCAGCACAGCAGCAGTGCTCATTACCTCCTTGACAAGCTGAGCGCCCGCGTTTTCCAGGGAATCCTCCAGTTCGATGCCCCTTGCAATTGTGACACCATCGTTGATCACCTACCGGGGCATCGCACCCACACACTAGCGAAATCAGCACTGCAGAAGTGCTGAATGGCAAAGTCAAACGAGCTGCCAAGCAGCTTCCCGCACAATTCATGCAGAGACCACCCAAACTCATCTTTCCAAGAGGCCAGTCAGGTAGACATACATATAGCCACTTGGCCACTTTGCTGAATAAATATTTCATAAAGCACAATGCCTTTGGAAGCAATCTCCAGGTTACATGCAGGATGAAGCAGACAGCCCCTTGCAGCTCCAGATCACCAGTAACTTTGATGGTGCCCTCACCTGTGGCATCCCATAGCTCTGCTCCAAAACGACGTTGCGGCCTGCGGACAAGGGGAGACAGGCAGGCCTTTCTTAGAACAGGCCTTCCACCCATGGCAATCAACACAGCAACACAACATCCTCAACACCAGCAGCAGCAGCAGCAGCAGCAGCAGAGTCAAATCAAACAGTCTGTTTGGTGAATGGTCATCAGCGATGTAGTTAAGGACACAATAATCAACATCACTGCACTGCCAAGCAAGCTTGGCCAGTTTCACAATTGTCCTGGCCATGCAATTTAGACCGCAGTGCAATTCAAGGTGCACTCGTTGGTTCCATCCATTTTGTCAAAGGCAGTTCGATCCTGGCGCCCAATCGGAACTGTAGTTGTATTTCTGTAATCGTAGTCTCTTTACAGTAGTCTGTTCGCCACAACCCTGAAACCAATGTACCAAAAACCCTGCAGTTCAGCTGCAAGGCTGCGACATTAATGCATTGTCTCTGTATCGTCTTCGTTCCCAGACAATGGCAACCACGATGCGTTTGGCAGGCGGACCCAGGAGCTGTTATGTTGCTGTCGCAATTGGCGCCGCACCTCTTGGTCCCAATGTGACGGCCACGGCGTCGGCCACCTTGTTGATCCCCTCCTGCAGCTTGCGCCGCGCGTCGTTGTCAAACACCAGATCCTTGGCGTCGGACCGAACGACCTGCTGGCGGGCGGCGGCACCAAAACACAGGCGTCACCCGCGGCCGTTCTGATGACGCACAACTGCGAGCAACGAGCATTGCACCATCGATCCCCCACAGTTCCTGCGCCCGATGAATTCCTCGCGATCCATTCTCCTCCACAAGACAAAACTAACGGTCCCTTGCGCCTTGCAGGCAATGACGGCCACAGACACATCCAACACTGTCTGGTGCACTCAAACATGCTTCACACTGCGCTCGCGCTCATTGCCCAACATCTCCAACTTTTCGAACGGGCCTGCCTTGCCCCGCTTTGGCATGCACGCAATCAATGGAATTGGACTTCCAACCCCCCAGTGCGGGCTCGTGCTCGAAAACGACACCGGGCACGCAAGTCGGAGCGCTGGGGCCATCACGCACCGTTCCGCAGCGGCGGCCCACTCGCCGAAGCCCAGGCACCCTGTTCCCGAAGACAGGCACGCCCCCGAGGGACGTCCTCCCGGAAACATCAACCTGGATTGCGCAAACTTCACCGAGTCAAACGCTGAGCGAAGGGTGGCGATCTTGAGGCAGGCGTCGGCGCATCACGCAGGAAAGGGGATCGGAAGCACGGGTGGCCGTCGGTGCACGCGGGCGGTGTGTGAAGCGCGTGCGGAGCTTCACCTGGTTGGGCGGCATGGCGCTGGGGGCCGGCTGGCGGGCGCGACGGCTGGGGGGTGAAGGGCGGTGGGTGCTGGATGGCCTGTGGGGTTCCGATCATTCTGGAATTTGCGTGGATGAGACCCAACAGACAAGCCCACTGGCCGATTCATCGTTGGCAACCGTTTTCAAGCGGCAATTATGGACCAACTGCATCCAGCGGCGATGGTGAGAGTGAGCAAAGCTCTGCGTTGGCGTCTGATTTCGCTCACAACTGATGCTTCCCCTCCCGGATATCCCTGCCGCAATTGTCCTGCAGGGTTCCTTGGTATCAACCGTTGGGCTGCACAGCGACAGGTACGCTGCTGAGACCGCTGCCACATGCCTGGCGTCTTGCGTTGTCATTTGTCCAGACGGCCTTCTCCTGCCTTGCCCCATTCCCAGACACACCCCGCGACTCAGGAAATCGACACACTCATCCGACATGGGCCCGGAGGCCATCCCCGGCAAGGCGTGCGCACTGGCACATACTGAGATACATGCTGCGGTGTATGCTGCTGCAGCACTCTTCTCGAACATTCCGAAAAGTGCAGTGCACAAAGCACCTGCATAACACATTCGTGATATAAAGGTGCGTACGTTCTGCACAGGTTGAAGGAACGTTCCGAAACGTTCTCGCGCCCGACGCCGGGAGGGGGACCGCCGCAGATGGCACGGCCCCATGTAAATGTGGAGCTGACAGTGGGGAGTGGCGGCCGCGCGAGGAAGTTGGTTTGCGTGTCCGCGTTTGCAGCGCCAGGCAGCTTGGGGGTTCCCGCGATCCATGGCGTGCCCCAGGGAGGACCTGGGCGAACAGCTGGCCGGCGCCGACCACATCGCGCTGGCCATCAAGCTGGCAAAGGAACTGGAGCACGGCCTGGAGGAGGGCCTCAAGGCGAAGGGCAGGACCCTTGGGGACAAACTTTTGTGGTGCCACAGACACTGCCCTTTGCCGGGGAAGCTCAGGAAGTGCATAAAAAAGGTGAAGGAGTTTCGCAACCCGCTGGCCCACAAATACAAGAAGGATACGTTGCCGGATGATGACTTGAAGTCCCTGCTGGATAACTACAGCACTGCAGCACGGGAGCTGAAGCTGTTCATCGCCAGCCTACGCTCGGCTGAAAGCGGAGCCGAAGCGCCGCCAAAGCGGACTGAGGGCACCCGGGTGCACCGCAAGGACTGCCCAGAAGAAATCGGGATCGTCGTCGAAGACAACGGGGAAGAGCAAGTGGTCGGGTTCCCATCGAAGGGCGAGTGCACCGTCGAGGCGGGAGAAATTGAAGTCGACCCGCTGGGCGAGCTTCTGCAAGTGGGCACCAGGATATGTCTTCAAGGCGCGAGTGCCGCTAGGGAGGGGGGATTTTTTGGACTGATCGGCACGATCTTGTCGATCTCTGACGACGGCAAAGCGACGGTGGAGTTCCCCGAGGCGTTCGGTCAATCGATCTGGGAGGGAGAGCTCAGGCACTGCGTGCCGGTGGTCGGCACCGGCCAGGACGCCTCGCCGATCAAGCCGGGCATGAAGGTCAGGCGCCGCGACGCGACCGCACACGGCCACCAGGGCGGCTTCGCCGCCGGCACCGTGCGAACGTGGGAGTTCACGGACGATGGCCGGTACATGCTGGTTGTGGACTTCACAGATTCACAAGGCAACACGATGTCAGATTTGTTGGATCCGAAGCAGCTACAACTCTGCGTGGAGGACGGCATTGCGCCGGGCACCCCCCACGCGGGGCCGCACAGCAGCGGCCACCTGCGCCGCGAGGGCTCCAGCTCGGATCTCTCCCCTGAGCCGCAGGCGCCAGCGGCAGATCCCAACAACGGGCTGCCCGGCCCATCTTCACAGCTTTGCTGCGGCGAAGCGACGATCGAGGCAAGCGAATTCAAGCCAGTCGACTCGGCAGTCGTGGAGAACGCGTTGGGGCCTCCCCTCTACCCCGGGATCGCGAACGGCCCTGTTTTTGCCGTGGGCCGGCAGAGCCTGCTGGCCGTGGGCGCACCGGTGATGGTTAGAGAACCCGGTCGCTACTGCGACGACGTCGGGAAGCTGAGGGGCATGGGCCTGCGGATGCTGTTCACGCTGCAGAGGGGGTGGGTGCGCAATGCCCTTTCTGGCGGCCGCCACGTGGAGGTTATGTACAAGGATGACGCGGATGAGGAAAGTGTGTTTGCGTTCGAGGTGGGGCACCTTGAAGTTGTGGCGGGAGGAGTGGGGCTCTGGAGGGGCGTCCGCGTGGGGGATGAGGTCCGCAGGCGGCGCGGGCTGCCGGCGCCTGCCGGGGACGTCTGCTGGGTCGATCCAGAGGAGACGGGCGTGGTCAGGGGGTGCCTGGAGGGCGGCCGGGGGGCCTATGTCCTGAGGGTTGATTTTGGATGGAAGGGGATGCTGAGCGTGTCGCCGGAGCAGGTGGAGTCTGGGGCCCGCAGGCCGCCGCTGTCGATTCGCTTGGTGAAGGGCTTGGAGGGCGGTGAGGCGGGTATTCAGCCGGTGGCTAGGCGCATGGCGATGGACCCTATCGAGGTGTTGGACAACTCCGGGTCGCACCCATTCAAACTGCGGAAGTGATCCGCATTCGGGACATTTTGCGCACCAGGTTGCAAGGGCCCTCTGATATGGCTGTTGCGGGACGCTCTTTTGATCGCGAAGCCTCGGACTACCTCAGGTTTTGGGGGGTGGGATTGTGTGACGAAACGCGAGTGGGAACGGTTTGTGAACGTGTCGGTGGAGCTTGGTGGATGCGGTGAAGGGTGGCTGCGCAGGGGAGTTTCAAGATTCCGTCGGCTGCACGGGCTTGCCGTAAAGCAGGACGCACGAAGTCAGTGTGTTCACGATTGTTGCCTGATTGCGCCTACAGCTTTGTGTATCACAGCTTAAGCTTTTGGCATGCACCACTTTGTTGTACAAATATGTACATGTGGACGTTTAAATTCCGCTATCAGAGCCTGAAGCCAACGTTAGATACTCATTATTTATTCTGATGGTCACTTGGGGGTATGTGGCTGGGTTCGCGAAGTGGGAAACAGCGCTGTTTGAGTAGATTTTGTGCAAGGAATTGATCAACAAAGCCATAAATTCAGGTTGTGAATTATTGGCAAGAATTGCGTTCAGTATTCCTTGGCTTGTCATGGATATGCAAGCACTCGGTGTGAGCAGCTTGAAGGACAGTGCTGGACATGCTGGCTGTGGCACAGCCCTCCTTGTCATGCAAGGGTGTTGCCCATTGAAGTCTGTGGGCAAAAGGACCAGATGCTCAACAGAAACATGACATTTTCGCGCAAACGAATGGTTTATGGCTGGACTGCAAGGGAACATCATTTCAAGTTTGGAACCGAATTGAACACCTCGGTTTTGTTGGTGGAGGCCGCAGAATTGAGATTTCCTCTCATAATATTATGCCATCACGGTCAAATGAGCAAAGGTTGGCACAATAGATGAGGGACAAGACAGTTTGCCATGTTTTAGATTGGAAGTTTGCGAAGTGCTTTTAGATTTTTTAGATTTCTGACAATTTTGGAATATGGGCCGACAGATGTCGATTTTGCGAACATGAATGTTGGCAAAGTGAGAAAACATATGGGAAGAAATCTTTCTTGAACTCTTTTGCAATTCTTGCAAATGTCATACTGTCGCTGTTGTGCCAGCATTTCGTTTCTCTACCAGCTTTAGGACTTTCTCGATCGCAACAATTGCAAGATGTGTCAATGCAAGTGTAACAATGAGGCAGTTTCAGGTGGCAGTGTGTGCGTTTCGGTTACCATGCTCCAGTGACTGGATTTTCCGGGGCATGATCCACTTGAACAGGTTTCCCATCGTGTTGTGAATGCTGATCGAGTCTCAGCGGACTGCTTGCACCCAGGCAAAGTTGCATGGGTCCCAGTGCCACTTGTTGGGTAGAGTGCTCTCGACCATTTGGCTCCAATTGCATGCAGAGGTTAGCCCTGGCTTTGCAGTACCCCAGGTCCACGCCACCTGTGTGGTAGTTTCCTCACTGACTGTCAGCTTTGCTGACAACTGTTGTTTTGGGAATGGAACAATCGCCAGTCGTAGGCCTCACAAACATGCACGCAGAAACGATGTGAAATGCCATGAGGTACCGAGTCATGAGGAAAGCGACACATGCTGGGCTCGAAACTACCAGAAACGCTTTCCTGGAACCTGCTTCGTCACACTATTGAAAAAACCATGACTAGCGCTGGAGTGCAAAGTGCGGGATGAAGCAGGAAACAATGCAAGGGACCGCAAAGATGAGTGCTGTCCGGCCAGGGGCAATGATCAGCGCTGTTTCCTGCCCAAGTCCGACTTGCAACATGCAGAATAGGCGGGAGAAGCAACCTGCTCGGACACAAAGTTGGACATTTTGTCTTGCAAGGAAACGCTTCCGCAAGTGCCTGAACTAGGAGAATGCCCTGGAATTGTCCTTTGCCCAGGCGCAGGAAGTCCAGGCAAGGAAAAGTTTCCCTTTGTATCTACCGAGTTCTGGTCCTTGCGGTGCCGCGAACCAACATGGCGCTCTCTACAGACCAGACACCTGCGACTTCTGAAATCTGCTTAGTGCATTCATCAGAGATCCCCACGTTTCGCGGCAAAGATTTGCATGGCACGCTTGGTACATGTACAATACGGTATCATACCCATCCACCACAACCCAGACGGCAACCACCAACTTCCGTTCATATGTGTGCTGTTGCACTCACATTGCGACAATACAATTCAGATCCATCGACAGTATTATCCCGCATATGTACTCCACAACATCGCCTTCTTGTACAGTGCTGTTCCACAAGATCTTGACATTATGCTGGTATCGTCCGGAAAGCGCACAGCCCTGTTTGTGATGCGCCAGCTATCCTTCGCAACTGGCGGATCCCAGCTATTTGTCAATCGTGCTGCCGTGCCCCAAAATTGCACGACGCCACACATGGAGAATGGGCAAGCGTCGTGTGGCCCAAAGGCTCGCTGAAGGACCTAGTGAGCGTCCCGTCAGAGATCCCTGCCCGCATCGCGACGAGACGTTGGCATACTTTTCATTGCGCGAAGACTATCAGTCATAGTAGAGGAACACCTGATAGCAGTGCAACTTTGTCCGGGTGCTGCAAGCGTTGGGAATGAAACTGCGCCCCAGATTGAAGGCACGTGCATCAACCTTGGCATGGTGGAGCTGGAGAGCCCGCTGTGATGGCCGAGGACGCGTCCTGTTGGACGTGTGGCCATCATGTGCGGCTGCAAATCGGCTTGCAATGCAGCGAACAGAGAAATCACGGCACATACAAAGGCACCCCTGATCGCAAATTGCTCTCTCGTTCATTGTGGAAATTCAAACTCGGATTCCATCCTCAGAGCATGGGAAGGTCATCAGGATCCAACTCAGGAGGGGAGTGGGAACGCCCATCATATGTACGGTATACATTTTCTCCCTCCCATTGGCATTAATGCGACAATATTGTCGTCCCCGAAGCAGATGTGGTGCAGAGTACGACGCCAATTGGCCCCTTCACATCCATCACGGTATTCAGCCCGAGGACAATTGCCCCAGTACCTTCACCGGGTCGTTCTTCACCCCCCTTCTGCGGTGTCCGGTGTGTGAAGGAGCGAGCGGACTTGGCTGCGGTGTGTTGCGTACAGGCCGTTCCGCACAACGCAGCGCTGCCTGTCGCTTGGGAACTTCCGCCGCGAGTCGCGGAGTTGTGAATCCGCTCACCGAGCCCCAGGGGAGGTCTTAACCGCCGCTGAGGGGCTGTCCATTCTGCGCCTGCCCACAAGGAACGGCCTGAAAGGCACGAGGAAAAGTGGCGCCGATCGGCCGAGAAATGTTGGTCAAATGTGCAGATGGATTGACAGCTGGTGTGCTGCATCGTCTCCTTGATGCGCGGCTGCCAATCGATTGCCTCGGGCTGAGCAGCGAGGATGGCAGCGCAGAGAGGGGCTGACCGGGCGTGGCTGCGCGTGCGCCTGTACTGGCGCGCGTGTGCGCGGAAGCTGAGAGCAGCGCTCCTCGCGGTTGAGCACGGAATGCGTTCTTATTCGCGGTGTGCGTCATACTTGTGGGCAGTACTGGGAGCCAGCTTGACGCTGTTCCTGTGGATTCGGACAGCCAATATCCGCGTCGAGTTGCCTGTGTTTAGCCCGGGTCAGGGGATGTACGACGATCCGGAGCTTTGGTTTCAGGACGTTCCGGCCGTGGATGGCGGAGTTCCTGAGCGGGGCACCGACCAGTCATTCAGGCAGCTGTACGGGAGGCGCTGGGCAAAGGAGGTCCTGGACGCCGACCTCTACGACAGGGACGGGTTTTCCCCGTGGCAGTTTGTGGTGCTAGGCTTCCACAATTCTGGGGCATCGATGGTTGCTCGGCTGCTGATGCTGATGGGAGCCTGGACAGGGAAACCGGAGGATCTGTACATGGGAGACAACCCGGCGAACGTGGGCAGGAAAGATGTGTACGCGCTCAATCAGCGGGTGATGGAGATCAACTCTGCTCAGCTGTATCCGGCCTGGCTGGGTTTTGATTGGGACCACGAATCTTTGACGGAGTACGACAGATTCAGGTTCAAAAGGGATGCGAAGACTGTGGTCAGGCGGCTGGGTGAATACAGCCCCTGGGTGATGAAAGATGCCTGCCTGTGCTGGACGATTCCACTGTGGATGGATGTCCTGCAGGCCCCTGCGTGCGTTTTGACGTACAGGAATCCCTTTGAAATGGCCGCAAACTTCACAGAATACTTCTCTGGCTGTCCCCAGCTGGAGTCAGCGTCCCGCCTGTACATGCAACAGTGGCATAAAGCCATGTTGGACTCCATCAGGGCTTGTGTCGGGGTCCCCACCATGTTGATGCCATCTGTGCTGGGTAAGCCCAAGAATTTTCACTGGTTTATGCACATCGCATCCAGGCAGTTGTCATCCATGGGACAAAGGAACACGTTCATGCCCACGCAGCGCGATCTGAAATCAAGTTATTTTAATCGAACCTTCTTGGGCTCCATTCAGGCAAAGTCAAAGAAGACAACGGGCAGTTGGAATTGCTCAGGCGTTTCTGGCTTCCATAACTCCAGCGGACTTACCCAAGCAGCTGGTGGGCAGACACTCGGTGATGCTGTAATGCGAAAGATGCAGGATGTCAAGGAGGAAGATGTTGTTCAGATGTACCTGGACTACTGGGGTCAGGGCAAGCCCAGGCTGTGGATCCCAGCACAGGTTGAAAATGTTGGGGAACCTGTGGTCTCTGCCAATGGCAATGAGGAGGCCATGATTCGAATGTGGGAAGAAATGCTGGAGAGGGTGGTGGTGGTGGAAGAAGACTTGAATCCTTCAAATCTCGCTCAAAGCATGCTGGACAAATATGAGGAAATCCGTGAGCAATTTAATTGATAGCTGGAGCTTTGACACCATTCGCAGTTTAGAGGCCACCTTGGAGAGTTTGCATACCTGCGCTCAGCTTCACCAGGGTGGCGGTCTATATGAACTGGCTTCCATTGCCGTTGCCGGGCACCTGATGTTCTGCAAATTGTGTGCAGTGGTGGCAAAGTTGCGCACCCATGTTTCTGTGCAAGCATACTAATCTGGGACCAAGTGTGCCTTGGCTTATAATTTTTTAACAGAGTGTACTTTCAGCTGGTACACTGAAAGGTTTTAGGAGAATTTTGGGCACCAAGGCGATTGGCTGTAATTTTTCTCAAGCACCTCTGCCTGAGGTTTTATGGCGTTTTGTGGAATGTGCATCCTGTGACCCCAATCGACACACAGTCCCGTTTTCTGCCCAAACAGGCACTGCCCGGCTCCATATTCGCTGTGATAACAACACGTAAGTGAAAGAGGAAATGTGCAGGAACACAGGACCCAATGAGCAGGGATTGCACTACAGCAAGCTACATTTGCAGGAGATCTCCTGTTGCACTTAAGAAAAACTAGCAGGTGACAACATTCCAAGTAGGTGAACCGCAGCTGGAGTACTGTTCAAGTGGTGCAGGCATGGCCAGTCTGAGCTGAGCGTCCATGGCCCAGTGGAGTCTTGTGTTCCCACGCGACCACGCAGGTCCCTTGAGAGGGGACCGAATGCAAGAGCGCTGGGCAGACCAACATGTGCTGGGTTATACAGAATGATTTCATGTGCTTTGTCTCCTGTCCTGGCGCGATAAAATATATTCTGAACGCCAGGTTGAAGAAATGGGAACACGCTTTGAGCAGATGCAGTGGCAGGCAACCCAGGGACAACTAGCAATTCAGACGTGCCAACTATCCAAGTGAATGTGCGAAATCCGCCTGCAGGTTGCAAGGCCCGTTCTGTTGGGGATTACAGTGGTTGGATCGGCGCCATCCCCAACACCAGTATCTCAGCAAAAGACCCAATCACAGCAATTTCCTCAGCCATGGGGTGAATCTCTGTCACCTCACGGTTCGGTCTTCAGTGAGAGATCAAACCACCTGAGCCCCAAGCACTTACGGGTGACAAACGCCAATCATCTTCAGCGTGTGCTTGCATAAAGTTGATAACCACTTGCGGTTGACATATGTGCATTCCGACCACGACAATTCGTCACCCACGTGCACTTGAACCGCGTGTCTCTCCTGCTTCAAGGGAGCATGAACAAAGCCGGTGGGGAGCGGAACCGACCTTGCACTGTGTTCGCCCCCGGAGGAACTGTAGATGGTGGTGCCGCTTGCGCAGTTCGGGTTCCCACAACTTGTAAACAGGACAGCGGGTAAACTGTTACGGTGAGAGTTGAAGCTAGGGGACAAAGTACTTGGAAGCACATTAGAGACATGCTGGAGCTTTCTATGCACGAACGTCAAATCATTTTGTAACTTAGCGCCAGATCACCAGGCTGCGGGGACGCCTCCAAACAACAATATATGTCCCAATCTGTTTCCCACAAATTGTCTTGAAAGTTCGCCTTGCTTCGGGGAATTTAAACCAACTTTAACCAACATGCGCGTCAAAATCCCCAATGGGCATTGTCTGCCCTTTACGTGGCTGTGGTTTGTGCTTGGCAAATGCAATTGATGAGGATTTGTCCAAACCAACACAGCACATTGGCATTGCTCCTTCGCCGCATCTCGCAACTGCTCGCCGGTGTGCCCATCTGCCTCCCTGCCTCCAGCGGCAGGGCCAAGCACGGGGGCAGAGGCACGGCTGCTGGCCCAATAAGGGTTTCTGGGCGGCGCCGCCATGGAGGATGAGGACGCCGTTGAAGAGGAGTGCATGGCCTTGGAGGCCATTTTCATGGGCAATTTCGCCCGTCTGGACGACAGACGGATAAGAATTATCATCGAGCCACCGTCCGACGAAGGGGAGCAGCCGCAAGGTGTGGCATTGTGCTTGGGGCCTCCTGCGTCACCCGTGTTTGCCTAACCCCTAAGAAGGTGCAGTGAATCCTTTGAGGCGCTTCAGGCCTCTGGTATCTGGGCCTGTGCGCGCCCATCGCTCGGGGATCTGACCCTTTGCTCACAGGCAGTGGCAGTGCTTAGTAATCCCAATAGCCTCTCTGGAAAAGCTGCGATGGCGTTGCACAGAAGAAAGGCTCAGATCAACCAAGTGCTCTGTGGGACCGCAGAGGGACATGGGCCACCTTCCTGATAAAGTTTGCCTCCTGTCAGTGTCCTGTGCGGATGCTCCATGGCCACAGCTTTCTGCAATGACCATCACGACATGTCACGTTTGTCCTGCACCATCGTTCACTTCAAGTTCTGACATCAGAGCCAGTTGCCTCATCCTGCAAAGGGCAAACAAAGCCCGTTTCTGCATCTGTAACCTGTCATTCGGGTAGGCGTGTCTGATTCGCACATCTGGTCTTTAAGCCTTGCCAATCTGCAAGAAATGAGTTTTTTTCTCTTTTGTGTCATTTTGAGATACATATTTTGTGTGTTTGCACAGGAATGTCTCTGTATCTTGAATTGAGCTTCCCAGATGGGTGAGTCACGGAGGATGGCGCCCCAAAGGTGTGCAGTTGATAGTATGGCAAGGAATCCTATCCAGAAGCCGTGGACACTGTGGGGAAGATCAGAAGGGTGTTGTCAAGGCATTAGGGCCAACCCCTGTGAGCATGCAAGCGAGCGTGCTGTCCCAAAGGGCCAAATGTGTTGGTTGGGCACCTGCAATTGATCGACATGGCATTGTTGTGTTTCCAGATGTCCTCCAAACGAACCTTGGGCCAGAACATGGAGAATATTGACGACACCATTTTTACAAAAGGAGGTGCAAATTGCCTTGTGGCTCAGCCAGGCTGAGTGCGATGGCTGTGTTTGCTGTTGAGCAAAAGGAAGACTAGACAGCAAGTAAAACTGCAGACAGTAATTACAGGACAATGCTGTGGTTCCCAATTACCATTTACCGTTTTGGATTCTTCTGTGGCCCCACATAGACAAATGCCAGCATGAGGATTTGATAGTAGCAAGAGGAGCACAGATGTCACAACGGGGCCTCCTCATCCAAGCAAGAATCTTTCCAAGGACAATGTTTTTCCAAGGAAAGTTTCGTAAGGCTGTTTTCCTGGTCGCAAGGTTGCTGCAGGAGTCTCTGAGTGTAACAACAAAGCATGCGTGTGTGGTTGGCTGGTGTTTGTGAGGCTGGGTTCTGTCTGGACGGAAGTCAGAAAAGCCGTGGACATCTTGTTCATGTGGGCACAGTGTTTGGAAGCACTAGCAATTTAGGCTACGGGACGGCAGCAATCGAGGCATTATTGCATGATGGAAGGAAATGTGAGTCTTCCGCACTCTGCATCGCCTGCAGATGATAAGTGGCTGTTCCAGCAGCTCCTCTGGCACAGCTCCTGTGTACTTATCCTGAAATTGCCACACTTGTGGAGCAGCACCCCTCTTACGTCCAGTTATCTCACTGCAGCGAAGCACCAGAGGCAGAGATGCTGTACTGTGCGACGTCAGCAAGTGATATGTGCGCGCCTGACCTCGTTCTGTACCCCTGATTAGGTACCCTGCAGTTGCGCCTGTGTACGACTTATCCAACACCAACAATGTTGCCTTCAGCAATAGTGTGCGCAGTAGGCTGCTCACTGGCCTTACTCAGCAGGCAGAGGAATTACTGGGGGAGCAGATGGTCTACAACCTTGTGGAGTGGGTGCGTGATACCTTGCCAAACATCGTGCAGGAAGAACAAGACAGTGAGGTGCGGACAGCATTGCTGTGCTCATTTTTATTCCCAACGTCTTGCATGGTACTCAAGAGTGCATTTGTCAGTTCCATTCTATTCGAAGGGATGCTGGTCTTTTGGCAATTGTGAGAGGCAGTAAGGGTGGTGGGCTGCCCAGAGAGAACTGGCGTAAATAGAAAGCTGTGTATAGGATTGTGAATGTGAATGCAAGCAAGTTGAAAAGATGAGAAGATTGTGGAGTGCTGTTGCATTCCAGGTTAAACTGGCATGCTTACACAGAACTTGTTGGTAATGTATGTGGGCTTTCGGCCACACCAGAGTCCAGGCTCATGGCCTGCACAAAAGGCCCATTCATACATGCAATGGCTCCTGATTTGCAAGGGTTGATACAGCCCCTGAGAAGTTGGATGACATTTTGACATCTCTGTGTCACTCTACCCTGCTTGGCCATTATTCCTAAGGGATTGTTCCATTTCGTTGCAAGAGTCGGATTTTGAGTAGTTGTTGTTAATCAAAAAACACAAGAAAGCGTAACACCTCCTCCTGGAGGTAGTGAGTCTCCAAACATATCCACAATTTCAACTGTCATCGCCTGAATGGGAGCAGTTTACACTAGACGTGCTACTGTGTTTCCTTCCCAAAACATAGACATGACAGCTCATGGTCATTTCCTGAAAGCCAAAGTCGACTAGAAGTGGTAGTTTGCTCGTCTTGCAGGAATGCCAAACGAACATGCAACTCGAATGACACGAAAAGCTGATAGATGCAAACCGAACAGGCTGGCAGATGAAAAGAGTCTGGACAAGTCAATTCTGCATCCAAGATTAATAGGTGCATAAGCTGCCAACACCGCCAATGCCAGCGCAAGACTGCGCACCACCACATTTGTCTGTGCAACATTCAGTTGTTTGTTTGTTTGTTTGTTTGTTTGTTTGTTTGTTTGTTTGTTTGTTTGTTCCTGACATGGATGCATCGACATGAAGTCACGGCATCGATCAATGTAGCGTACCATCCAGTGTGCGAGGGGCACGTCCAGGCCCAAGTCTATATCCGAAAGAACGTCGCTAATGGCGGCCACAGCAACATTCAGTGTATGGCCTCTGACCCCGAAGGAACTGGCATTGGATGGTGAGGTGGATTATCAAAGCTGTTGGTGCCCAGCAAGCCAAACTGGCACGTTTCTGTGATGTCTGCAGGTGCACAAGACACTGGACCCAGAAGAACGAGCACAACCAAGCACGAAACCAGAAAAGGAGCGAAAAGAGAAGATGACAAAGGCCCAGAAGCGACGGTACTATGATAAGTACGGTGCTGTGGAGGAAAAGCCCAGGGGCTGGAATTGGGTGGATATCATAAGCCACCTATCAAAGAGGCCGATGCAGGCTGACACATAGCATCCGTGCTGGGTGCCTCAGGCGTTTCTTTTCTATTGTTGTAGCTTCGTGCCCACTGGAGAAGCCATGAGGCTCCTGGACAAAAATTGTGTTGAGTGGCCAAGTGACCAACTGAACCAAGCACTTCCGTGGAATGTGGCGAGTCTTCTGGACCCAGTTCAGATCCGAGTCCACCTGGCTCCCATATGTGCCTTGATGGTGCTACGGGGAACACATCTGTGGCAGCGGACGAATGCAATGCTGGTTTAGTGTGGTATGGCGTGGTGCCTCTGACGTCTCCTTGGACCCGGCGTGCCAACATTGCGAACTCAGGTTCCACTGTGATGGGCAGAAGGCTTAGAGTGGTGTTCATGAGCTAACCAGCTCAGCATACTCGTATGCAAGACCGCTGTGCGTTTCCTGATGTGCATAGTTTGGTTGGACTGTCGCCCGCGGGACTTGTCTGCTCTCTCAAGCAGACTGCTGTTGGCCCAGGCAAAGCGTGTATGAGCTTGACGTTTGACAAGAGCCGGCCGCTGCAAGCTGTTTTGGGGAGAAGCGGTGCAAGAAAATCTACCTGCTCCGTGCAGGTTCTCTGTGGCCTTTGCGCACACATTCGAGGGGCTTTAGCAGACGAGCAGCGTGTGGTCCGTATGTTGGTGCCGTGTTGCTGGGCCCATGTTGCTTTTGCCGATGCACCAGGGGTTGTGCGCAGGTGTGTGTCCCACATTCAGCACCCCTCGAATCGTCCCTGGCTGGCGCAGACCCAGGTTTGTACAACTGTTGGTGTGGCTTGAGCCTTGGAATGGCATCCGTCAATTTGGCAGGCCCCGGAGTGAAGACTTTTGTCCCAGTGGGTTCTTTTTTGCAGCAGACACAGCGCCGCTGTCATGTCCATCGCCGCAAAAGGACAGCGACTTGTGGAAATGCCTCCATCCCACGGCGAATGCTGAACAGAAATTGCATCCATCGTGCAGCCGCACAAAGTCACGCGTCGCGTGCTTGGCGCATTGACAACATCAAAGAGGGTAATATGGTGTATCGGACTTCCAATTCTTATTGGCCCACAACCCCACGATCCGGGAGACTTTGAATATGACCACCAACATTGCGTCCCACGGACAGGCATACACGTCCCAGACTCCCCCTGCCTCCAAGGCCAGCGGGCTCGTCGCTGGATGTCGTGTATGGAGGGTTGTCCGATACGTATCGCTTCGGGACATGAAGCTCACGAAGGGGTCACGAAGATCATGAAGGGACCAAAAATCTAGGGACTAGGGACCAAAAGTCCCTTAATCTACACCCTGTAAACCCCAAAATGGCTTTCATGACCTTTACGACTGCATGACTTCACGACCCTCGTGACCTTCATCACCGTCACGACCTTCACCACCTTCGCGGCTTTATGCCCATAAATGAAGGGTATAGGACATTCGTGCGTGCATGACATGCGTGCCACTGTCGCCTGGTACCTCACTTGATCTGCGCCTCGCAGCCAGGGGCTGCGGCGTGGTTGGGGCACGTGCTTCATTGCCCTTCGCGTGTTGTGCCTGGATGCACGAAGGGGCATTGAGGGTGCATTGTAGGGAGGCGGCTGGAACAAGCCCAACAGCTATGTGTGCGTATCAGTGGCACAGCATTGCGCTGTCGGGGTCAATAGACCGCATGTGCATGTGCAGCCCTTCATGACCAAGTTCTGACTACAGCATCAAAAAGAACAACAATTTGCACAATGCCCACAGTTCACCAGTGGTCTAACCAGCCTTCGCTGACTAATCCGTCAACTAATCTGTCGATCTGACTAATCTGATTGATCTGTTTTGAAGCAAGAAAGCCAGTACTACCGCGGCTCCGAGTGGGTGCACAACACACCCAGACGTCAACTTTTTCTTCACAACACCATCTCCACGCCCCAGCTCCTCACGATTCTTGGTCAACAAAGCCTTTGGCAATTTCTGCCATAGCGATCCGTCATGACATCGAGCCCCACCAAAAGAATTATCCCATGGTTGATATTGAAACATGACGGGATTCCGGTTTGGCAGCAAGACGGCGAAGCACAGTGCTGTCAATAGATCCAGTGCCCAACTCCCCAACATTCTAAAATCAAACATGATCCACTGACACCTAATGTTAACATTTTCTTTCAGCAATCGATCTAGCTGTTCTCTGCAAACTTCAGGGTGCCTTGCACTTGGCATGTGTCCACCAGCAGTGCATGTTCGGATATTTTACCAGTATGCACGTGTCGCCTTTTCTTTGCTCCTGCTCTGGCGGCATAACCGGACCATCTCACACAGTGGTGTCACCCGCAATGTTGTGCCCGAGGGCACTTCACTCTCAAAACCGCACAGGTGGCCTGCAGAACGCAGGCCATCGTTGGGCAAGTCGGACAGGTCTTGGTGATGCTGCATGAGGGTCAACGACCTGTACAATGCATTCGACATTGCTGGCGCTGCCCTGCACTGCGCTTGCAGAAAAGGCTCCATCTGCTTGTGGCTCGCTTCCAGCTGGCAGCAGCTCCCCAGTCATGCTTCATTGCCACGTGCAATTGGCACCCCACCCGCACAATTTCGCTTTCTGGTGAATCAATAATCGTTCATGACAGCGAAACGCACCAATCGTCAACCGAAGCCCTGCATGGCACTACAAATTTCAACTGTCATTGAGCATACTCTCAACTTCATCCCGCAGTCGCTGAAGGTCCCTGTTTCTGCATAGAATACCCCGCACATCTGTCTTCAAGATCTTTCGCTTGTCCATCCCCAGCACGTCAGGCAACCATTGGCGGCCATTCAAGACAGGCACCTCGCCCTTGCTGGCCTCTCCCATGGGGCCCAATAGGTCTTCACATATCTCCCTCAGTTTGCTTTCCTCGTCGCCCTTCATTTCTGGAGTTCCGACGCATTTCACCAGATGGCGGATGTACACAAGCAGCCACCTCTTGTACTCATGGGGAGACTGAAGGGCTTGTGCAGCAGCCATGTTGTGCTCCAGGTGCGAACGGCTGTCCAGATCAGAAGAGCGGCCGTCCATTGCGGGGAGCCTGGAAGGCTGACGTTGATGCTGGGCCCGACCGATTTGCAGATTGATGAGCTCTCCACTGCTGTCATCGGAGTGTGAGCTCCACTTGAACATCGTGTGGTAGTGTGAGAATGGGAATGAGTCATCAACGATGCGCATCCAGCACTTCATGTCGACTTTGTACAGGTAGGCATGGTAGTTGGACAGAACACAGAGGGGAAGGCCGCACTTGCTGAGGTAGGCAGCCACAACTGCATGCAGCGCACAATCATTGTTGGCACAGCTCCGAACAAGCAAGAGCAGTGCCACGCATTGCAACTTTTGCAGTACAAACGAAATACAAGCCTTTAGGCTTGTATTTCTTGCACCTGTACTTCATTTGCAACACGTCTCACACAAACGATGCATCCATCCGCATTCTCTGCCAGAGGGGGAGCCATGGCATTGTCACAATTCAGTGCTGCACCAATAAAGGCAATACCTGTGTAGGCTTCGTGGCAAAACCAAACAGTGCAGGCATACTCACCAAATCGCCAAGCCACAAATGTTGTGCAGATTGGGATCAGCTAACTGCCACTTGGGCAATATCAGTCCCCCGTTCTAAAGCCCGAAACAGCTGAAACGAAACAGGCCATCGAGGACTCACAAGTGTGACTGGGCAGCTGCACCAATGCAGATCTGGAGATGTCGGCGTTGAGGGAAACAACACTATCTGGGAGAACAGCAACTGTTCAAGCTTAGGCCCTACCTTGGGTGTTTTCAGACAGGAGTCCAAATAAGGATGTCTCCACAACACACTCTGCTTTGCCAAGGTCCCAGACCCTCAGCTGACCATGGCATGTCAAGGACAGAAGCATCCATTCTCCATCACTGTCCAGAAATGACGGCCTTTCCCCCAACCTTATGGATGGAAAATCCCGAGTGCCTGACTCGCTGAAAACCTGTTTGACACCATCGACAGCACCTGTTAGCGCCCTCCAATTCTCTTTTTGTCTTGCCTGCCAGCTGGCAGGGGAATCCTGGACTCTGGCAATGTCTTCAAGACAAGGACACTCACAACGAACAGGTCTGCTGAATATTTTCAACACAGAGAACTGTGCTCTGGCAAAGAGAATGGACAAAGCCATATATCAGTCATATCTCTCTTGAGCAGCATTGATTGAGACCACTTTTCTGAATTGCAAGGTGACTGGGAAATGTCTGAGTGGACTCGTCGAAACACCTGATAGTTAGATAGTTAGACAGTGGGAACTTCAAGATCCAAAAGAACGACTTCAGCAGGGCATGAAAGACACTGTTGGACTGAGTCGCCCTGCAAGCACAACCATGAGGAGATCGCGCACCAAAGCAAACCTGCCACCAATGTGGAATGCCGGTCACCGTACCTGTAGATCACCCTCAACTGTGGCAATGGCACAAAATCTTGGGCTCCCAGTCACAAGGGCAACCTTCCCAACAACTTCTGCTACCCAAGCTGTCCGAGGACCGCGTCGGCACACAATCTGAGCATACTCCTTTCCACCGCTGATTCGCTCACCATTGGAGACCTGAACAGTCACCTCAGCATCATCAAGTGCATCGCAGATCCCTTGGCCACCACTTTTCAGCGGGAAAGTGGTTTTTTTAGGGGGAAGGGCAGCAGCAGCGACTTTTAATCTCTGTAAATCTGTTCCAGATTGCCCATTTTGTGCTGTCTTGGCCGTTACAGATGTGCCCCCAATAGCTGGTGCCACAGCCGACACCAATCTGGGGCATTTGGATTGCGGTGTACAAGGAACCCCATCCCGGCTCCTCTTCAACCTCTCAGATGGGGTGGAGGGCTTTCCCTTGGGACTACCAGGCTGAGAGAAAGCACGGCCTTGCAGGGTCTCTCTTCCACCATTTTCATTTCCCACAGACGTGATAGAAGGAACAACAGGAACAGGATGAATCTTCCTCCTACCATCTGCTGTACGACCTTCTTGTTGCAGAGGCAGTTTGGAATGACCCTGTCTGCCTGTCATTGTCGCTGGCCACTTTTGTGGCTCGCTTACAGAGGTGCTCCCCACCTCCACTCCATCCAACACTCTGCCAGGTGGGTGTGTCACCTGCTCATTGCACGAGGTGCATTTCGCTGGCAAAGAGTCCCTTCCCTCTTCTGCACTCGCTTGTTCCACATTTTCCACTGGTTTGATCTTTCTTCCAGAATTCAAGTCCCCATACAGTTCCTTCATATGGCTGGTCACTTCCTCATCTGGCGCATGTGACCCAAGCACCTGTTCATGAAAAGATGTGACAGCCACAGTGCCATCTGTCGATGCCACCAGAAACGTCCAGCCATCAGGTGCCCATGCAACATCTGTAACACTACCACGGAAGCACCCTTTTGCAAAATGCACTGGCTGCTGCTTGACAGACAACCACAAAGAATAACCCCTATCAACACTCCCCAGCACAACGCAGTTGGCTATTTCATGTGCCCCACCAAGGCCCTTCCACGCATACAGCTTTGGGCAATATCTCGCAACTGTGATGGCCCCAAAATGCCCAACCATGCTGTACTCTTGGCTCCAAGTGCCTCGCTTGATTGCACATGCAGCACATGCACCATTCTGCAATGAATTCACGATCGTCAACATCTGCCCATCGGGCGACCAGCACAGCCGATAGAAGAAACAGTTATTTGTGGGCTGCTGGGCCAAAGGGGAGGTTATTCTTTGTGCCTCCTTCCAGTCTGATGTCCGCCAAATGATGACACACCTGTCATCTGCCTGACTCGCCAGGTAGACACCCATTGGGTCCCATGCAACCCCCTTCACAAAAGACGTGTGCCCCTTCAAAATTGCCACCGGCTTGGAATCCTCAATGCTCCACACTGCGATCTGATTGTCCAGGCTGCAGGTCGCAAGCTGGTTTCTTGCACTGTTGGCCGGAGCCCAGGTGAGATCAGTGACATTTGTCTGATGGAACCTGCAAACAAAAGAAGATAGTTGCAGCCCAGCTCCATTCACACAGTACGCAGGCTGTTACAAAAACTCCATGACATTTGGAAACTGCATTAGTGCACCTGTACGAATTTCGATGGTAAAGCACTGACCATAGGGATATTGGGAGGTGCAGTAGATTTTTGGCAGCTTGTTCAACCAGCCAGTTGCACACATTTTCAACACACCAAGGGCCTCATGCACACCTTGAACCCACCGTTCTGTATCTGCAGAAGTGCGGTCACTTGACACTACTTGGCTGGGTTGTTGCCAGCCAAGCATCTCTGCGCAACGAGGCGGTTTGGGAAACTGAGGCTGTATCAGGGCGTTTGGGAGCTTCTCTGCAACCTACGTCGTGTTTGCCTACAGGCCCAGGCACGTCATGTCCTCTGTAATGGAGGGCAAAAGCCCATTTGAGAAGCTGATGAACGGGTGGCATTACAATTGAGCAGTACACAAACAGCCTTATGCAAGAGCACAAACCAACGGCACAACACCACCACCGCATGTGTGTCGAAGGCAGCATCGATCACAAGGGCCCAATGTAGACTTTTGATGTTCAGCAGTGCTGTCCTGGTGCTGGCCTATCAGGTAAAATAGCGATTGATTATATTGCTGAGTCTCAGGGGTGACTTGTCACCCATGATTTCTGAACTTTCATTGCCAAAATCGATACAAGGAATAAGCCATGTAATAGACAGGCGGCACCTCCATTATTCAACAACACGTGTCTGAAAGCGCTGATTTCAGAACCAACACTGGGTCACTGTGGTTGCCAAATTCATGGCCTTGTTTGGCTGGGACTTGGCTAGGAATCCAACAAAGTCACAGGGGCCAAACCACATGAGCATCAATTGTTGCAACAAAAGGTGGCAAGATGCACGAATCACTGTGCTGTACTCCATGTTGTGAATGTTGAGATGATGAGCCAGGTCCTTGGATTGTTTCAGCACAAAGACAAATCTGTGCCGCTGAATTTTCGCTTGACTCAAATTTGCCATTCTCTTCAAATCAACACATGGATTTAGGCACATCTGCACATAACGCTCTATGCAGCACAGAGGCCCACGCCCACAATATGTCATGCATACTACTGTGGTATATGTGCATGTTTGCAACACCTTCCAGCGATGCACAAAGACACATAGAAATGTATTTTAATATCTACATAAGCCTGCAACCAAGAGCACTGCAGTAGATGCTCAATGTTGCAAACAGGGCTCTGGATTCGGAACAGTGCTCTTCTGGAAGCAACAGGGTAGGATGTGGTCAGTGTCCACAGTTGCCTCTGGATGTGAAGCTGCAGTGATTTGCTACACTCTGATGGAGGCAATCAATTCCGACTGCACAGAAGTGGCTCACCTGAAAAGCTGGGTTTGCTGCCAATTTTCATAGTTCGATGCCCCAAGACTCCCAGGAATAACCTGACCTCGGCCAGGTGCCAGAGTGTAGATGATAACAAGGGCATCATCTGCACCAGAGGCAATGTATTGGCCATCCGACGAAAAACGAACTGTGCTGACTCCCAGTGTGTGACCTGCCAGAGTTGCCAGGAGCTTTGGAACCTCGCCAACCTGCTTGCCAGACTTTTGGCCACCCATCACGTGCAGGAGACTCCACACCTTCACCAAGGCGTCGCCACCCCCCGTCACAAATCTCTCACCGTTGGGAGCAACGTCGATTGAGAATATGGGTCGTTTATCTGCACGGGAAAGAGGAAGTTAGTTGAGTTTAATCTCTTCATCAGTGCTTCACGGCCATGTGCAAACACGGCACTGCTTGCGTTTGTGTTTGCCTGTGCCTTGAATCACTCATGTACGCAGGATGGAACACATGCTTGAGCTGTGGCACTGCGCACAAAGGGCACCAAGGGCATTTATCAAAACCAAAATGGCAGAGGCATCTGAATCTGTCCACAGCGCCACCCACACCACGACTGCTTTTCGAGGTTGTGCTCTCTGTAGATGATCAGCGGACAACACCAACCAGGTAGGTCAATTGGCCGCAAACGAGAGCCGTTCAGTCATCAGCACGAACTCAAGAGTCCCAACGGCCATTCCATGGTCGCAACCAGCCCTGAATTTCTGGCCAGTGCGTTATGCAGCACCCCACAAATGTCGTGGAATCAATACAGAAAAATCCATCCTAAAACACATCCAGTTGTATGCCAACCCATGCGTCCACCTCCGCAACCAAATGCGAGAGACAGGGGGTCGGGGAAGGCAATCGCCGCAGCGAGAACAGCCCCAAAGGTCAAACAGCAACTCGCGAAGGGTGCACACTAGACCGCTGTGCACAAATCAAAGTGCCGACCGTGTTGGACCCATCCAAGCTTGTCGAAGCGGCGGGGCTCGGCCGTCGCGTCACTTTGCGCCGCCATCATCGCGGCGCCGGGCTGGCCGAAGGCACAGGCGCGACAGTGCGCCAGGAGGTGTGCCGAGTTGACGGATGTGCCAGATACAAGCCGGCAGCACTCGTCAGCATCTCCGGCCTAAACATGAAACTGGTCCACCACGACATTTGGTTTAGGGTCGAAGCACGATGACGTCACGGAAGGAACTGCCCACATTGAGACGGGCGAGCCGCCAAGCTACGGCTTCGGGACCGTAGAGAGAGCGGGCACACAAGGAAAACTCGTCGCAACCGCCCCCAAGCAACAAGCCGGGAGGCAAACAAATTCTTCACAAGACCAGCCGTTCAAATACAAAGATATGTTCGCCTCTTCTTATGCTGCCGTGATCTGTGGATCCCGTCGAGCCAAAAATGGATGATTCCAACAACATTAAACTCCACGTTCAGCGCACAATAAAACTGAATGATGCAGGCGTCACCAGCCTGGGACAAAAATAGTGCCTCAGCTGCGTCAATCTAAATGTGCAACCAACACCCGGTCCAGCACAGTGCCATTCGCACTTTTGCCCATCACGGTGTCGTGACAAATGGAGGGGGCGCACTTTGCTGCCTCCGGTACGGTTGCAAAATGGTTGCCAACGCCAATTGGCAGATTGTCAAGATGGAACAGCCTTGTACCAAATGTCATCAGGCCTGGGAGCAACGAGGTCATGTCGGGCAAGTTGGCAAATTTTCAATGGCCCGCCGTCGTCATGGGAACACGGGAACGTATCGCGCAGACGCGCTCTGAGGTTTGATTCGACGTGATGCTGCGGGGCACCACGTTGCGTCACGGAGCGTACTCGTCAGAAATTCAGGGCAGGCTGCTCCCATCACTGGCCGAGTGGAGCTTTGAGATGTCTGAACGGGCTCCCGTTTGTCTGCACAACCGCAAGGCAATCAGCCTGCCATATGTTGGGTAAACTTCAAATGTTGTCCACGTCCCAAGATGAATCTGTGGTAACTCAATTAGCAGCTTGCTCATTTACCGGTTCCAGGGGACCAAATCGGCTCCTTTCAGAGCCGATGCCATCTTAGGCCAGGGCACCCATTCCTCATCAAATGCAGGAAATAAAGGCCAAAAGACCACAAGCAAGATTGAGAAAAGAAGGAATAGAACGGAGTACAAAAAGTTTGATAATGCTTTTGATATTGGGGCGATTTGCCAAACATTGACACATCGGGCTAAATCTGGACTCATTCGCCTTAGGCCGCAAGATGAAGTGTTTCCTTCATCTGACCTGCATGTTTGGGCTTTCAGCGTCTTGCACGTCCCTTGGTACGGACCAGCGAAATCTAACGTCACTTTCCTCGGAACGCCAGGCAAGGGATTCCAGGTGTAATTGTGATGATGGAAGGTCGTATCAATGCACTGGAGATTTGATTGCCTTGTCAAGGCTATCGCATAACCTTGTCTTGCGTGGGTTTCTTTCTCAGCTGCCTGGGCAACTGAACTTGGTGATCAAATCGGATGGGGGTATCGTAGCTTGTACGGTACCAAAATTTCCGGTGACTCCTTTGAAGCACTGGCATCTGCATATGCAAGGGCCTGACCGTGGAATTTGTTGTGGAAAACAGAAAGATGAGGCATACAATTCGTGCTCAGTGGGCTAATTTTCAACAAGTTGAAAAAGCGTCCAGGAACTGGCTCTGAGGCTGGGTGTTTTTTCTACTTTGGCTGCCAGTAATTTGGTCATTCTGTCTTGAGAGGAACAGCCGTTTGTGGGAGTTGGTGTCTGTGCGATGATGGGCCCGTGCTTGTGTCAGAATCCCCCGAATTACAGCAAGGCTGGACAAATTCTGCCAATGTATTGCTGGCGATGTGGGCGAATTTCCTGATGGTATTTGTACCGCAACCGTCCCTCACACCGGTGACAATCTGGGTATCCAAAAAGAGCTTGAATCTGTTCTGATTTCACGAATGTAGACTAGCAGTTCGACTCTTGCTTTGTTAAACACAGTGCCTCGGAGGCACTGCTTCCCGCCATCTATGAGCCTGGATTTGGCTTTCCTATGTCTTGCTCTGTCAAATTCTCATCGGAAAGCGCACCATGTACCTGCAGATGCTCAAGTACCAATCCCTCGAGCCTGGGCAGCCCGGTTACAGTAAACTACACTTTCGCATCATGCAATGGACATTCGTCGCTTAAACATCTGCGGTGCGTTTGGATTTCAGCAGCAGCGACGCCTGAAAGACGTCTTTAAAGTGTCAATGCCAACAAGTGGCAGCGTACCCCGGGCGCTTTGATTTTTTCTGAAGCATAACTTAAATGGGTTGGATTTCCGAATCTGCAGAATTTTGACAAAAGTCACAGTTGAAACTCACAAAGAAACTGCACAATGAAACTTGACAATTGAAAACTCACAATTGCAAATTGAATTTTGTCAACAGAATTCTGCCGAATTATAATTTATGAGATTTTGAATTTCTGTGAAAGGAAATAACAATGCATGAATGCATACATAACAGAGAGACCAACCTAATACACTGCATGCCTCTCTTAGTGCGGTGAAGGAGATTAGCACATCAAGGCATGTCCCAAAACTTCATTCAGGGGGTTGTTCTCCAAAATCCAATAAGTCAGTGAACTCCCCCCAAGTCGCAACATGGTGAGTTCCTCTGCAGGAACTGAACAGGCGCCCTGTAGGTGGCCCCATTGTGCCACAGTACATCGCTCGCCTTGCTGTTGTCGACTCCCTGAGGGTCGGGCGCATTCCCTTGTTCTCTTTGCGGGCGCCCCACACCGCCGGCGGGGCCTTGCTCCTTGGGACGCACCGGCACAAATGGCGTCCGCCGATGGCCCAGACGGTGCTCTGGACGAGATGCTGGATGGTGAGTGCCCAAGTCGTACAATTTGCCTGGCGCCTTTTGACCTCCCAGTTCGCCCCCAATCCTTTGACGTGCGGCGGCCTGCTTTGACAGACGCGCTGAGAGACCTGGAAGCGGACGCCGCCCCCCAGCCGCCTCCGGCCCCCGAGGACGGCGGCCCGAGGTGACCGAAGTCGCGCAGAGTTTGGCTTCGCAGCAACTCCGGCGGTTTGACGCCTTTGCTCGCGGCCGGCCCGCCGCGGCGCCATTTCTTCGCCTCTCACCGATCCACCCACCTCTCCTGCCTTCAAGACAGTGACACCGGGCCATGCGATGGCCATCCGCGCCGCTGTTCGCGCCTGAGAGGGCTCTGCTGAGCACTTTGACACTCGGTCAGGTGAAATGAATCACCATTCGCTTTCTGATTTGATTCTCACCTCACCCTGGCTGGCCCTCCCGCTCTTGGCCTTTACTCCGGAGCCTGTGGCTTGATGGGTGCAGTGCCGCCAAAACATCTAGGCAGTCGGCCGGCACGAGCACCAGCGGTGAGCCATCGGGCCTGACGTTCGATCCCATGAAGAGGCCGAGGCCCAAGAGGGCGGCGCCGCGAGGCGCGGGCGGGGCGCGGGGGGAGAAGCTGGAGGACGCGCGAGAAGTGTACGCGGGACTGATGAGCCTCGTCCAAGGCATGGATACCCGTAGGTATTGGAAGGTGGACGGGGTGGGAGGCGTATCTATGCGATTGCGTTTGTGGGAACATGGCGAGCATTGCCAGGGCGGTGACGACTTGGGCGGTCGGCGAGCAGCACGTCTTCTGTGTTGGTTGCGCTGATGTTCGCTGCAAAGGTCGTATGGTTGGCACGATCGAAGAGCGAAGAGCCAAGGGCAAGGTGTGTGACACCCTGTGCAAATTGCACAAGACTTCATGCTGTTGAAAGTTGCGCATGGATGAGAAGAAGAACCTAACACAAAGCAAAGCCTTACAGGTATCATTTGCTTGAAAGGCTGAGCCAATGGGGTCCAGGTGACAAGTTTCTTGTGCCCTGGGTCAGGCCAGCTGGTTGCCCTTGTGCGGATGACCCATTAGGACTATGGGTCCATCCATGTGCTTGGGAACAGTCCTACAAATGCTGTGGGTTGCCGTTGTCGAGGACAACTGCAAAATTGCACATTTTTCACTGTGCTTGTATTCGCCAGTGACACGACAACTGTGCTTTGCCACACACCGTTTGCAAGGATGCATTTTTTCCCTTGCAATGGCTGTGTGTGCTGTCTCACAGTGCCTAGCACAGTTAGCGATGTGCGCTGGTGCGCTCTTGACTGGCGCCGTGCTTAAAATCTCAGGTGAAGGGGGGCAGGCTCAGGGCCCTTGGCCCCAAGGTGTGGAGCACCAGGAAACCCTGAATGCCCTGCAAGCTGCCCTGGCACAATCAGTGCATCCAGGCCAAGCATCACCAGAGGAGAGCGATGCTGAAGAAAACAGCGCCCTGAAGACGATCGTTGGTGCTGTTATGCAGAAACTGCTCTCCAAGGATATGTTATATGAGCCTATGAAGGTAAGCTGTGACCGTGCACGCATGCAAGAGGCAGTGTGCAAACACAAGGCAGAAACGGATGCTGTGTCTCTGAATGTCCCAGAGATTGCTTCATAACGGAATGTCCTGTGTCTTATTCCATTCATGCTCTGTTTTTGTAACCAGCATGCAAACGTACTATGCTGCTTTCAAGTTCAGGAGTAATTCCCTCTCCACCCCTTGGATGGTTGTGATGGTCAGGAATGAAGGCGCCAAATGGCTGCACAAGAATGGTGTGGGAAACGACAGATACGCCCTGCAGTTGTCGTCCCTCCTGAAAGTTGTGGTTCTGCAGGACATTTGCTTGAGGTACCCTGCCTGGTTTGAAGCCCATGAGGCTGGGCTGGACCCTGCTGAGATGGAGCGCTTTCGGAAACAATATGAATACATGCAGCAAATCATTGAGCTCTACGAGAGAGATCCAGACAACACGATTGAGCTCATGAGCTTGATGCAGCAGGTGAGCTGGCTGCCCTGTTGTCAGCACAGCCTTGTCCCTCTCTTTAGAGGCTGGAATAACACCCTTGCCAACATAGGTTGGCCACCATTGTGTCATGTTACTCATCGACTCAGAAGTGCCCAAATAGATGTGCAATCTCAGCGTACTGCATTTTACTCATTTGTTGATTGACTCTGCAGAGCTCGAAGGAGACTTGGTGAATTCCGATTCGTGATGGTGCCCTATTTGAGATCCTGTGCTGTGCTGAGTTGTCATATTCAAACATCTGCCTTCATCGGTCGCACAGGTGATTACTGTGCCGATGGGAGAGACAGTGATGATTGGGTTAAATCATGGCTAGCTACTGGTCACCTTTAATAAAATATCAGCACATGGTGCTGTTGCATCACTGGCTGACGCATTGTGGACCCCCGCATGGTTTCTTCCCAGTCATGCCAACTTCATGATGGTAAAGTCATGGACTGATGACCAGGTGCACGTGTGGTCTGCCACAGGTTCAACAATACGGGCAACCCCCACAGGAGATTGTCGATCAGGTGGCACCGTCCGAAGACTTAACCGGGATGTTTCAGGGTTGCGCCCCTGGGTTTGTACCCCCAGCCGACCTGCCAGAGATGCCTGAGGATTGCAAGATGCAGTGACGACGCCATAGCGAGATTCTGCTGTGCATTAACATAGCTGGCGCTGCGAGTGAAGTTTGTCAGTTTGTAGATAATTTTGCAGTACTCTGTGGAATGCCGTCCTGCGCTAGACTTGACAGCTTCCTAGAGGGTGCGATGGAGATGGCCATGCAGTTTTCCTCTGCACGCCTTTGAGAATGGAAAGATTTTGACTTGTCTGCATGTTCATGGCCATAACAAAAGAGCGTGCACCGGACCGCTGCATGCTACTGTGCTGCAGCCAGTGGGGGGCCAGCACAATTTTGGTGAGTCAGTGATTCTTTAAGGGGCCCAATAAGCCTGCCATGCAAGAGCTAAAATTTTGAGATATACTTAAGTACTGGAAGAGATCGTTTCGAAGTCTCCCAGCGTGCCAGAATGTACGCGAAACAGCGAATTGAGGAATGCACAAGCAGTTTGCGCGATTGATAAATGGATGATTGGCACATTTGTCTAGGTTGAGAGGATCCATGACGCGTCCTGTTGCGACCTCGCATGTGCAGCGCTGTCCAAGTATGTGGGCAGCACGCTGAAGTGCCGCAGTACGTGCTGATCGGTGCCGCTCACGATACTTGCGTTTACTGCCATCCAACGCCCGGCTGGTCATGTGCACACACCGCAAGACGACGCGGCCATTGGCAGACTTTGCTGCAGTAGCCCTGAAATCCAAATGCGGAGATTCTGAGAACGTGAAATTTGCTCAGTGGGGTGGAGCTTTCGACAGCTCTAATGGATGCGGAAAGGCTTGCACTTCCAGCGGCACAACACGCAGATACACAAGTGTCCGTCAGTTCCGCAGCCTGAAATTCTGGGCCACTCGTTCCCTTGTCATGCTTCTGGGATTTGTGCCGCCCCTCGATCAACGACCGATCGTTTTCGCCTGACATCTTGCCAGCAACCTCGAGAGGCCATCGCCTCGACTCAGCCCAGCTTCGGCTGAACAACCTGGATCACCAAATGGCCCACCTCCGCGAGCACCGCCGAAGCAACTGTCCACGTCAGCATGGTTTGTAACAACCTGCCATGTGCTTGGATTCTGGCCAGAGACCCTCCCACCACAACTTGCCAGGGTGCGACTCGCTGGGGAACAAAATTGCGGACACGCGTCATTGTGCAGGATGGAGTGGCACTTTCCGTCAGGGCCGGGAGCGCAGAAACGCACAAATCGCTGTGCTGGGATCACCATCCATGGGTGTTGCGCAGGTTCTGCAGCATTCGTTTCAGGACATTCGCCTGCTCAAGAACAGAGGGAACTGGTAACACTTCGAGCGTTTTCATCGCTTCGAAGTGACTTCAACTCTTACCCACCCGCCTCCAATTTACAAATCTGCAAACCCTGCTGGACCATAGGAATGCAATTACAACATGCAACGGCGGCGTGCTCCCCCTTATTCCGTCCAAGCTCTATTCAATCAACTTGTGAGCGCACGGGTGCATTGGAGGGACCCCTGCAAGGCGAACTTGGCAGAACCTCCCGGCAGCACCACAGAAGCTTTAGTCATACAGTCACGGTTTCTCATCCTTCCACTACCACGCAGACAGCTCATTCGTCCACAGACAGCCTAGAGAGCCGACGAGCCCTTGCCATACTTTCCAGCACCGTGTTATTCTGCATAGGGCATTGCAACAGAGGGCGTCACAGTCATCAATTTCCACCGCACTCAGCGAACTGCGTTCCACCTGCAATGGCGACCTCATGGGCTGGCGTTGACACAATCATGATGTGTGGAATGGACACTCAAACGCGGAGCCAGACCCGGCCACGGCATCCCCACGGTCCTATGGGGGAAATAGAAGTGATCGTGAGAGATTTGAAGGAGGCCGCCTTGAACATATGCCCATGCTGTGTCGCCCTGATGCACCCCACCCTCCTGCTCCTTCGCTACTGCTGGCAATTCACATCACCACGCCCGCTGTTCGGCCCACGCAGGCTTCGCCACAAATCAGACATCGGCCAAACGCGGTTTGTCTCTGGCAAAATTGGCGACAGCGGGGCCCAGTCCCACATGCATCTGCAAGATGAGGGCAAAGCAAATGTTATGTTACAGAGTTTGTGGCTGGCAGCAAGGGAAGTGATGTGCAACAAGAATGGACGCTTATTTTGAAGGATTCGGCGCTGAGATTGCCACGAACAGTACTGCTGATCCTGCCACTATGTCGGCCACTTTGCCACAGAGAAGGGAGTTCGCTTTCCGATTTGCTCTCCGCTGCATAAGAAAAGCAGGACATGCACACACTGGGAAGAGCAGTCTACAGCATGTGCTGCGCCTTGAAATTCCTCAGTTCGGCATGATAAAGCAGTTCACTGCAAACACGGAAAAACAGCAAAACAACGCCGCAGAAAACTGGCAAACAAGATTATCATTGCGTGATTTTCGTCCCGCTACAGAACATTAATTTTGACAACAATTATTCCAATGGACTGATGGGTCCTTCAGACGAATAGCCTGTGCGTATCGGGCATTTTGCCAGCAGAGACAGCCCATTTTCATCAGCTTCACCAACTTTGCATGCTTTCACGTTGCGTTAAACGACCAATCGAAACGCCAGTGCAACGCACAGGCTGAAATCGTGCTGCTCCTGTCATCCAAACGATGCTTTGGCAAATCTTACTGTGCAGCCTCTGAAAGTGCCACGCACCGACGGAGCCCTCCGGGAGTAGACTAGCGACCGCTCAAGATCGGAAATGTGAGGACCGTGGTTGTGCTCGTAGTGCTGCCGTCATCTTGTCCCGGCGGTGCTGGCGTACCCAGAAAAAGTCCCCGGAGCTTGTCCAGTAAGGAAGCTGTGACGCCGTTGTAAGGTGGAGGGGCAGGCTGGGGGGCAAAGTCGTCAGGCGGATAGGAGGTGGGCGCCGGAGAGGGGCCCACGTAGATGGAGGATTCGTTGGTCCATGGGGAGGAAGCGGCGGAGGAGGGCGGCGGCTCCGCTTGGGCGGCCTGGGCCCAGCGGCCCGCCTTGCGGAATTGCTGCCCGGTTTCAATGTCGCCGATGAAGCCCGCTGATGGGACCACGCCCCTTGGCAAACAAAGTGGGTATGGAATAACGGAACAATACTATAATAATGGAATAATGGAAATTCGATGCTGAGTGCATTTGAGCCAGAATTTGGCAGCGTTTGGTAATTCAAATCGCCGTTCGCCACAATCAAGAGTTGAGCAGACTCGTCACTAAAAGCTCGACATCGCTTTGCTACCAGCATTAGACTGCTTGGCAAATGTGCAATAGTGTGCGGACCGTCTCATTTCGCAGCTACGTCAGAAAGTTGACTACATGAATCTGGCAAAGCGGAATTTGAAGCATTTTCCCAAACACACGAGGTGCAGTTTCAAAATTCGGCCAAAAGCTACATGTTCTGATTTGCGCAATGCGGGGCACGTGAGGAAAGGTGTCAAGGTATCACGACACGCCTCCCGACTCACTTCAGAACCAGCTGCTCCCCGAGAGTGTTCGTAAGGCGCATGTCCAAAGGCGCGTCGGGCAGCAAGCTTGCCTCCCAAGCAGCTCCGAAATGGTTTTCAGCAGGCCGCCAGCTTCCCGTCTGTGAGCAACGCAAGCGTATCAGCCGCACAACCACCTGCCAGGCGACCGCAGCGGCATTCTGCAAACAAGCATTTTTGGTGTCCGAGTTGCACGTGAAAGCCAGGAGTGCCTCCATTCGGACATTTGGTCTTGCGAGAATCCCTGGAAATATTCTCAGGGCTCGAATTGGGCCTAATTCGGACAATGATCGGCAAGAAAATCGCAGGGTGGTTATGGTTCCGGCACAACAGAATTCGGTGTTCACGAGGGAGCATTTTTCCACGAGAATTTATCGAGTCCTAGCCTATTGGGCGTCGGTCGACTATGCATGTATACTGCGCCCGGATGGGTTTTGCGCTGCAAGCTGTCCAGCAATCCCCACATGCCTGTATTGCAGGTGTACTTGAAGTGTGAGCTACTGCCTTGCACCCAATATATGGCACTATGTCCATTCGTCATAGCAGGTATGGTGCATAGTCGAGTACGCACCATACCTGCCACGGCAAATGGGTACGCTGCACTAAAGGAGTGCTCCATTGTTGCAGTGCAGGTAGGCACAGGCTGTAAGCAAGCACTAGGGTATGCATTTTGCAAACTACGGTGTCTGTATATGTTCGCACCTTCCGGAAGCATTTAGACGTCCTAAACGTTTCTCCCAGTTAGGGTCTAATTCTCGCTAGAACCTCTAGCAAAACTTTGGGTGGCTTATCTTTTCCTTTGATGCAGACTGGCAATGTTGAACGAAAATGACACTGTTGAGCTTCCGCATGCAGGACTAGAACGGCTGTCTCCAGATAAAATTTTCACAAGTTCCGCACTGGTGCTCATGTGCATAGCATAGCCCATTCTGCAAACACCTGAACGAATTCTGAGGATCTGCATAGAAAAACATCTCTGACTGTTTTGCTCGCCACCAATGCACAATGGGCATTGCACACTCATCAAAAGAGAAGCTCAATTCAATGTACATCCGATACACTGCTGAAGCCCACAATGTTCGGATGATGGCCCATGCTTGGCCAATGATTGCCGCCTTTGCAAGGCAGAAATTGACAGTAGCGAATACGCTGATCTGGTCATTTGGAATTCTTGAATATGTGCGTGGTGCCAGGCAACATATGAAATTTTTTCTATGAGCCCTTGTGCCAGCTTTCCACAGTGTTTGCGATAGCACAATAGCACAACAGCCAATGGGCACTCACCTCCTGCGTTCCCTTCAGCTCCACTGCCGTCAGCCCTCCGTCCCCAGGAACATTTCGAATGACGAACTTTATGTACCCTCCTTCTCCCACCCGATATGTCTTCACTTTCACGCTGATCTTCGCCTTTGGGGTGCACGTCACCTGCCAAACACGCAACAGCATGATTGCCACCCATCCTCTACTTCTGTTGAGAATGGCAGATATGGAATTTTGCAGGGGCAAGGTACGGACCCTCCATTGAGAAGTGCTGTCCTAGGGTGGGGGCTACCACCCTGGCTGTGATAAGACAGCACGCCGTTGCGACAACGCTCACGCAATGTAGTGCAACTCATACAGCAGAGTAGGGCCCTTTTGTGTTGTGGGTACACGTGTCACCGCTTTGAGGATTGGTCAGCGGTTTCACAGTCTGCCACAGCAGTACATCACATAAAGAGCAAAGCAACAACGCTGACAACAATAGCATATACGAAAATTCAGAGTCACAAAGATATAGTTTTCAGGAAACAAACTGGCCACATGCCGCGACTTCGAACCTTGCACAAGTCAGGTCGCGCTCTGTAAAGGCGCCGTGCAGCTGCAGTCACGCTCATGTGACGCACATCCTCAGAGATGTCCAATACAGAACCACACTGAGCGAAGTCGGGAAGTCCAGGCACCGCTCTCTTTTCCAGCTAGCGCTATCACTGTGCGTAAGATGTGCATGGACTTCGTCAATTCTGGCCATTCGACATAATGACCTAGGTGAATGAGATGGCCCACAGCTCGCCAAATTTAGTGCACAGTGGACCATCTCATTCGCTCAAAATCTGCAGGGTGCTTGTACAACTCATTTGGCGAGCTTCCAGTTTTGAGCGGCTTGCACGGCTTGATCCAAGTAAGCTCACCTGCCTCATGCGTATCTGTATGTTTCCCAGCCGAATGGGGGCCAGCTGGTCAAACGCGAAGACGTGAAGATTCACATGCGTACCGCCACATCCAGCCAGGCAGGTGCCGCCAACCATAGCAACCACGCTGTTTGAGAACGGTCCGTTGTTGCATTTTTCCTGTGCCAAAACAATTTCGAGTCCAGAAGTCAGTTCTGAAAGTGTCTGAAAGAGCAACGTTGACAGAAATCCACCACATTGTGTGTGAAATATATTCAAGACGCTGGCGAAATTCCGCCAGATCAATCTACTCCAATCCTCCATTTCGTGGACCATTATTACTCATGTCATGATCCAGCCGTTCAACGTTGTCAGTCTTGATGAGCTGTGGGCAACCCATCGATTTTTTGGAGAGGTGCGTTGGGCGGCGGGCCCGCCTGGTGATAGGACAGCGGCCTCGCTCGTGCGGCCCCTGCTATGTCCACCAGTTCACTCCCGCCCGCAAATCACCCCAGCATGAAGATTGGAAGAGCTTCCCTTGCATTCAGTTGGCGTTTGCTCACACGACACCTTGCGCTGGCAATCCACACTTCCAGTTCGGGTGCCCTAAATCGCACCAGCCCGCCACGCCCCGTGCTCACAGCACGGAAAATTCTGAAAAAAGAGCAACAAGCATTCCACCGAACAGGACACGGTCCCAACTCTCAAAAGAAAACGCGCAGGAAGCAGGCAGACGGACTCCGTCCCCTTGTGCCACTCATCGGGCAATCGCTCCCATCCCCGGTGGCCAGGCCCTGATTTGCCCCGCCAACTCACCACGGAGTCCGCGCACTGCAGCTCGAAGCACGAGCCGCAGCCACCCATGCTCTTGCCCGACACCAGCTCACTGTCGGGCGCCACGCTGAGGATGTTGTAGTGCGGGAACTCCATGGGGTTCAGCTCGCCGTAGCTGCATCCCCCGATGGGCACCAGGGGGTTGAAGGGGTCGCCCTCCTGGCCAAGCCGCAACCAGCCGCGCTCAGGCATCGGCAAAGGACCACGCGCACTGGGCAAATGCGCGCGATGCATGATGGCGCGCTTTGGGACGGAGCGGGGCAGATTCATGCCAATCGAAAGCGGAGGGGCAGGGCGCCTCATGGCGCCGGGCGCAAAGCAAGCTGGAGCCGGCCGCGTCCAAACAACAGAAAATTCAGCCCCAATGCGCCGTGCCTGTGCCCCTCGAACCGCTCCGTCACGGTGAGAAGTGCATATCGGGGCAGGCAATCCGATGTTGGGCGTGCGCGGTCGCCGCGCTCACCGCAGGCCCTCCGAAATGGTTTGCACTGCCCCCGACCCACTCAGTGAGGGGCTGGTTGGCCGCCAGGGCGCCGGACGCCACGCCCAGCACGAGCGCCACGACAGCCATGCGCTCGGCGATGGCCATGGCGGCGATTGTCCCAATGGATCCGCGGCCGCTCATGCGAGCATGTCCCGCCCAAAGGCCGAGCGCGGAGAGTGCAGCGGTTGCGGCTTTCTCGCCAAATGCGTTGTCATTTATTTCGCCAGGGCCTCCGCCGGGCAGCGCGGTGGAGCCCGCCCTCGCTTGTGGCGCGCTGGCCGCCACCCCCCGGTTTGGATGTTCAGGCTGGGGGTGTTAATGGTGGCGGGGTGCGATTGTCATGGATGGCACCCAGCGCACGCCGCGGAAGCCAACCTCGTCACGGGGCGGCGGGCAGCGCACACGCAAGGGATGTGACAGTACATTTGGACGCGACGCGCTGGAGTTTGTTCCAAGGTCAAAACGTCAGGGTGGTGACCGTCAAGGGATTCGCGCTCAGCCCTTCTTGGTGACTACTGTGAACATCACACCTGCGCCCCTTCTTTGGCGGTTCCATTGGGCGACTGATGGGAGTTGCTCAAGGCAGTCTTACTCCTCCAAAGGGCCGCTGTGATTGTTTGAATGTGGTCTTCATCTGGCGCTCCTTTATACTAGAAGTATTGCTCATTGCAAAACGAAGTTACGACATAGTTGATGACAGAGTCGGGCTTGGCCGCAAAACACCAGCTGCAAGTCATGCGACCAAAATTTCCACGCGGCATGTCCATGTGCGATTTGTTGCGAGCGTTGGCGCGAGTGCCAGTGTTGCGCCAATGTCGATGCACGTGCCCTGCCTTGGCTCTGTTCGGCGTTGCATCAGAGGCAACGTACGAATGGCAATGCATCAGCTTCAGCCTGGGTTCCAGGTGAATTGACCATTCGCAACGCTCTGCTTTTAAGTTCCTACTTGCTCCTGCTCACTCAATTACTGAGGGTACCACCTGGGGCGAGCTCTAGAATTTTCAGACCCATTCAAATGATTTCACGGGCCTGTGGAGAAGTTTACAGAGCTGGCAGTCTGCCATTCACCAAACACGATTGAACGCGTGTGTTGCTCAACCGGCTGCACTCCTGGCGGGCATCCTTGTCACTGGTTGCTATCCAAAAACGTTTTTGGCAGTTATGGTGCGCTATGAACACACTGTTTGAAACCAACAGATTCTGGCAGACCTCACCAATGCATCCATGGAGGCAAGGGAAATGTTGGGCAAACACCAGCACCCAAATGTGAAAATAGCTGGTTGCCTGCCTTCCAATCCCAACGCAATAAATGCGTACATCGGGTTCAACGCGGATTCATACATATGAATGCATATATGATGCATCCATTCACCTTGATCACTTTACACGTTGAGTGTGGTACAATGCATGCCAATAAGTAAGCCAGTTCAACGCGCCCTCAAGCCCTTCAAGCTGCCCATTTCTTGCTGCGGTGATATGCTCATAGAACAGTGGTCCCATAAATTTTATTGGCTTTGCACCGCTTCCAAACCAAATTCCCAGCTTCAAGATTTTGTATTGGTATTCCTTCGTATGTATTGTGCCCACTCCACCGCCAACAAACTTCGTCATCATATCCTTCAGTGCGGTGCTTGAGTGCTTTCCCTCTACAGCGACTGGAAACAATGAATGATGAGAATCACACATTAAATCCCAAAGCCTCATTCCGGAGATCAGACCGGTGGATCTCTATCCTAAACGCGAAGGCTTGTGAGTTGCGAGAGAGGCCTCCCCATCCGTGAGCGTACAGTCTAAGCGCTTTCTGGGCTGTCTGATGTTCTCGCATTCACGCTGGAAGCAGCGTGAGCCCTGAGAATACACAAGCACATGCATTTTGTTGATTCAATGTTATTCGACAGTGCACGTGCACCTACGAGGAATTCCAAGCCATCCGACATGCCCCGAATCGGAATGCCAAAGTCACAGAGCGCGTTTCTGGAAGAAACCACAACGAAGTGCATTCTATTTGAGTTGGCTGCTCCAACACTATTGTACAGGATATACTATTTATCTATAGGTATTACATGTCGGGCGTGACAACTTCACTTACAGCGACGCCGCAGGCCATAGATGCTACTGCTATTTCACGGTCGAGCAGCACGCAAAATTGATGCGATCATTCAAACGCATGTATCTTTTACTCAATCCTGCAACCTGCAACATCTGGAGAAAACTTCGTCGGATGAACGATCAATGTCGGACAATTTCTCATTTCCCCCCACGTTTTTGCACCGCCTGTGCACGATTCACAGCCAAGACTCGCGCAGCAACTGCATGAATGGGCAATTTCCCGCCCTTGGGAATGATGCACACATGCCGATGCATGCCCTGCATGTTCATGGCCGCACGCACAGCCGCACTGTCCCACTCGCCCGCAGGCGAGGGCAGCCGTTTTGCCACCCAGCGTACCATAATCGCCTCCTTCGCATCCTACGGCGAGTCCAGCAGCCTGGATGCTGCCGGCCCCGGTGGCAGAGGCGAATTCGCCTCTTCCATCTCCTTCGCAGGCGAAGGCGAAGGCGAAGTTGAAGTTGGGCGTCTGGGGGGCCCGCCTGCCGCCTGTGCAGTCGCGGGAGCGCTGCTTGTGGACCCACTGGGCACGGCGCCCACTGTTGGGGATGTAGTTCCGGGCACAGATGTGGGTGAAGGGGTGATTGGTGACGGGGAGGGGGAAGACGCGACCAGAGAAGGCAACGGAGAGGGACGCGGAAGCGCAGCGGGGCTTGGTGAGGCGCCGGGGGCTGCTGGAGAAGCGTCTGGACGCGACGGTGCCTCGCTCGCGTTCGAGGGCTTGCCGAACTGCACGTCTGACAGGGCGTCCCCAAGGAAGCCGGGCGTCGTGATGATTCCCCTGTTTCGAAATGGCAATTTGAATAAGTCAGTGAAACTCACTATCATGTTAGTACTCGTGTTTTCATGTTCTCATGCATTTCGTGGGGGCCTGGCATGAAAAGGGGCTCAAGAAGATGGAAATGCAGTGGCCATTGAGCATCTCCATCGTGTGCTCTCTGGACGATGTGCTGAAATCTGCACACCCGGCGCACACAGAGTCCTTGCTCTTTAGGAACTTTCGAACCGATCCCGATGCGCATGAAAATCTCAGTGGGCTCAGAAGCTCGAAGCTGCGCAGTCATACAGCATTGAACCCATCTTGACGGTCAGTCGAGGGCAAGGTCTGTCGGGAATTTCAGATGTGAGGCGTTTTTGGCAACCCGCTCTCACACGCATTCTCCTGTTCGCTTAATTCGGCTGTTTTCGCTTAATTCGGCTGTTTTCGGAGTCCAGGAAGTGATATTCAGCGCAAGAATCATTCTGGAAGTGAGTCATTAATGCTGCCAAGATGTCGATAATAATTTCCTTGTGATTTGGGGGGCGAAGCTCAGCAAGACAGCCACCACACAGTGAGATCACCATTCGGCGCTTCACCTGAGAATGAGCCGTTCCCCTTTCGTGTTTGTGATCCGTATGTCCAGCGGAGGGTTGGGAATGAGGCTGGCCTCCCAGGCCGCGCCAAATGTATTGTCAGCGCTTCTCCACCCACCAGCCTGCGCGTTGAAACACCAAATCTTTCAACGTTTATTTATCAAATCACTGCCAGCCCCACGGTAATATTGACTTCTAATTCTGAGCAGTGCACGTGTCTATTTGCCGTTTATTTGTACATCCGTTGACCGCTGCGTGGTGCACATTAACATAGGAAATTTAGAACACACCAACAAGGTAGAATGCTTTCCGTTCACACGTGTAAACCGGACAAGCAGTTTCCATCTATTCTAAAACTTCTTGCAGTGGAGACAGTGAAGATGCTCTAAAATCTGAGTATCCTGCAGCCCGGTTTAGTTGGCAGCAGCACGAAATTCCGCTGGGTCTTGAACTTCTGCGACTTGAACCGATCATACGCCGTGAAAGAATGGTCTGGTTTCTAGCCTCGAAATTCTGTATTTTGCGCCAGCGCTGTCAGTCGTCTGACTTGAGCGGGCACTCAATTCTTCGCACCTCATTTGATCCCTTTATCTCCAGCGCTGTTAGCCCGCCATCGCCGGGGACGTTCCTGATGGCCAATTTGATGTATCCCCCTTCTGTAGCCCGGTACTCATTCACCGTAACAAGGATATTCTCTCCTGGTGCACAGCTGACCTGCGAATGTATCGCAGTCACAACGGCTGCTGCAACAAACATGCACCGTGTTGCTGCCAACATCAGGGTCTAACGTCATGTAATCGTTGTCTAGCTAAGAATCAAATTGCAGTATTGGACCGCTGCCCAACCTTGTAGGAGCGTATGTGCTGTGCACATGGCACTGAGTGGCTATATCTGTGCCTTACGCTCGCATAATAGCCAGCGTGGATTTCCATCGCATTCTGCAGGCACGGAATCTGTGTAAACGAGGTGAACGCCCTTGTCGAATGTGCAATCATGCGGCTAGAATGACTGGGACGCATTTTCAAGCCAGTGCAGCGCAGAAGTTGAGTCTGTAGGTTTATGTTGCTTTTTCTGGCACATTACGTACCTTTCTGATCCGAACACTAATGCCTCCGTCCTGGGGAGATGATAGCTGGGAAAAGGTATTCACATGCAGGTTGAAGCTACTGTCATCGCATCCCTCGCTGCATGTCCCTCCAACCATGGCAGTCACGGTCTTTGTGCCTTTGCATCTTCCCTGCAGCACCAACATTGGTGAAACTTACGCCATGCCATACCCTCTGACCGCATACATGTTTGAAGCATTTGCTGGGTGTTTGAGCTTATGATCGTGGCGTCCGTTCTTCTGGTGCGTCGTCCTTGTGCCCACTATGAGCGTTGCGCATTCTGCCGCTGATCCCAATGCACCGCCGTGCAGGGAAATTTGCTGGCGGCATCTCGAGCCGACCAGACTTGCTCGTGAATAAGCATTGGGTGTTTCAAACAAAACATGTGCTTGGGGCAATTGCCCGACATCGTCAGTTTGGTGCAGGAGCGTTTGATTTGCTATATGACGAATGTAATCAATCGAGGATGCAGGTGTTGGGAAATCCGTTAGCCTTGCTGAATGATAGTTTGTGCGTCGGGTCATGATAATACGCAATCGCTGCTGGAGAGCCGGTGAGGCAGCTCTCTGACGTGTTCGTCAACATCCATGTACAATTCGAAAGGCCGTACTGGAGAACGCTGTTCTTGATGAATGTTCATTATGGGGATGCAAAATTGGGTGGTGTGGAGGCAAAACTTCGCCTAATTATCCAAACATGATGCACAATTTCAGAGGACGTGAAGGGTGCTGTTTCATTTCACTCGTGCGTATTATCCTTTGCGGCCGGTTACGAGTCCTGATTTGCGATGACTGACAGGCCTCGCTGGCCAAATATTTTCCATATAACGCGAATGTTAAAAATGTTAAGTTGCGTTTGTTTGTTGATTTAGTGAATCTCACTAAATGTGTTGAAACTGTGCTACAATGGAGCCAAATCGCGTATTTGGAATAAAATCATGGTAAAATTGGACAAAATCGTGTTATGTTCATCGCGTTTTCGCTGCCTTTTCCCGCCAGTGCCTGTGGCCACAGTACCCCAGAACCAAAACACACGCTCACTTGCTGCTGCCGAAACACAGTGCCACACCGTGCCACAAGCTTTCCTGGCCAATTTCTTGTCCCGCCGTTCCACGGGATTCCCCCCTGGGCGGTGGCTCTCACTCGCCTGGTCTGCGCACTGTATCTCATAGCAGGAGCCGCAGCCGTTGAGCGTGTTCCCGGCGGCCAACGCGCTCCCTGGGGCCACCAGCATGACGTCGTAGAAGGGGTACTCCGCTGGGTCCAGCTGGCCGTAGGCGCAGCCCCCCAGGTCCAAGGAGCCGTCCTGGGCCAATCAAGGCATCGCATAAGCATCGGCGCACGCGTGGCGTAGGGAATGATGATCGATCCCGGCCATCACAGAGAGGGAGAGGGGTGGGGCGGGGTAGGCGTTAAGGCTGTTACAAGAGGGGAAGAACGGGGCAGACGAGGGGACCCCCCTCCCAATCAAGCGGGGGTGGGGGTGGGGGTGGGGGTGGGGGTGTGTGGGGCGATTTGCTCGCCAGGGCGCCAGAGCGCTGCCGATGGAATGACGACGGTAGTGCATGACTTCCCAGAGCCATCGCGTGACAGCACGGCGCTCGAATCCATACCAATCGAATCCGCGCAATAGCACGCCACACCATGCAGAGTGCACAAGCCCGGGACTCCCGAATGGAATTCATGACCTGGAAATCCACCACCAGGGAGCGTGCCACGATTGGCTGCGGGAAAGCTTCCAAGCCTTCCGCTGCGGCTCGCGCGGCGCCCGTTCAATCTTGCCCGGCACTCACCGCCTCATCTCCGAACGGGTTTGTGAATCCTTCAACCGAATCGCCGGCCTGGGCGTGCGCCACCGGAGCTTGAGACGCCACAAGCACGCAGAGCAGGATGAGGACGGCGGCGCCATGGGCGCCTGCCATGGTGGGGGTGCGCCTCTGCATTCCGCACAAATTGATTGACAAGAGCGCAGCGGGGAGAGAAACCGCTGGCCAGGCAACCCAGCGCGCTTGGCCAAGCGCGGAGTCCCATGGTACTCCGTGCGGTGGCGGGAGTTTGTACTGATGAAGCACAATGTGTCATTGGGAAGATCCCATGCGCACACATGTGTGACGCGTCACGTACTAAGCTGCCTTGGGGTCGGTGCATTGCCCCCCAGCCACTCTTCCAGGCAAAGTGTGGTAAAAGCGAGTACTGTAAACTACTGAGCCTTATACCAGTTTCTACCAAAACAGGGTTTGTCACATTGAATGTGCCAGTCAGCGTGGCATTGATTGGCCCGCATTGAATGCGGGTGAGTGCAATGGAATCAGTGTTTGGAAGCATGCTTGCGCAACGGTTCACTGCAATCGCACAGCGTCCAACACAGCCAAGTGCTGGAAAGTTGTTCCACACAAAAAGGTGCTGCCGTGCAATCCCTCGCCTGGATGAAATGACGCGCCGAGGAGGACATGCTAAACTGTTCACGGGCACGTGTTACAGACGGGGAAGCCTCGAATAGACATGATCTGGGAAGTCACCACTGGCAAGAAAAGGACCAAATAACACTTTTGCGAACACATACAAAACACATGTAATCAAAGTTCTGCACGCTAAGAACAACAAAATAACCCAAACCCGTAAACTTTGTACACATTTGAGCACGTGTTGTTTGTGCCCTTTTTTCCCTAGTGTATTGCAGGTACACAGAGCAGCCGCAAATGCTGTTTGTTCATGGTTTGGCAACATGGCTCTGGTGCGCGCGCAGGAGCACAAAGCCGCTCAGGAAAGTAGCCTGCTGCGCACATGTGAATCTTGAGATAGGGATATTCCCCTCACATGTGAGAGACCCAGTGTGGATACAGCGCCCCGGCCCCCTCCCCCTTATGCCCTGCCCTCAGAAACAAGACAATCAATCAATGTACGCCGCTGTTCTGCCCAGTTCTGCTCACGTTTGAGCTGGCTCAATTGATTTGCGCATTGTGGACAATTCAAACCTGCGATGAGAGCACCTGCACGAGTGCGTGAGGAGCAAAAAAAGATAGCTGACCTGGCGAACACTATTCTACTGCGCCTGAGCAGTACCGTTCATACGCAGTGATGGTGAAATTCCCCTAATCGGACGCCATGGGGCAAGTCGCTTTCATAGATTGCACCGGTAGAAAATGACATCTTGCGATGCCAACCATGATGCTATTGGACACCAATTAATGGCACCACAGCCATTTTTATGCTATCGCACCCACAGTACTGTGGCGGCGCCACTTAGTCTCAAAATTTGTGTTTTCTGCCAGCGTCGTGGGCGGCTGCAGCATCGATGCTGCGCACAGAGATTGTTGTCAGCCCTGCGTTTGAGGCATATCCCTCAAACGCTGGGCTGACAGCAATCTATGTGTCTCCGACTGGGTGGTTGCTTCTTCTACCCAGGCTTGGCTTTTACGCCGTAAAAACTGATCGTATTTACGTTTTTACGCGTCAAAATAGTTTTTACGTTTTTACGCGTAAAAATGCGTAAAAATACGTAAATACAACGTAAAAACTGGTTGGTGTACATAAGGACAGTACATGCAGACTTACAGAGTCCGGAGAGTGGCAGCCAGACGCTTTGGAAGAGGCAGAAGAAGAGTTTTTGTTGAACGTCATTATCGCCCTTGCCAAGGGCGAGGAGGACATTGTGTTGCGGGTGCTGCAGATGGCCGAGGACTGATCATTATAGGCAACTTTTGTCGCGTAACCTACATGTGCCAGGGAGCCGCAAAAATGTAAAAATAGAAGTAAAAATAGGCCCTTTTGCAAATTTACGTTTTTACGCATAAAAGCGTAAAAGTAAAAAGGTTAACATAAAAACCAAGCCTGCTTCTACCTGCCTTGAAACCATGTTCTCGGGCACAGACCACTTGTGAACTGTTCCCGCGTGATATCGGGTGCCGCAAGTTGAAAGCAGTGGTACATTAATGGATCACGGCTGTCCAGGGTGACGGCGGTTGAATGTTAAACCACCATCGCCCTGGATAGCGCAAGGTCAAGAGATTTTTGGGATCGGCAGCGGGGTGGGAAGTGGCTCCTGAACACGCCACCCGCGGCGATTCTGGGTTCCTGGGGTGTTGCGCTTGGCAAGTAAGTTCCGAAGTCGAGCAACGCTCTCTGAGTCCTGGCTTGCATTGCCAATGCGTGTCCGGCGCCGTTGGCTTCTTGCTCAAGACCGTTGTGCAAAAAAAACCCAGCACCTCTGCGCTTGTCAGCCTTGGTGCGTCTGAAAAGCCACGACCGCCAAGCCTTAGTTCTGGAAAGCTGGCCGATTTCCCAGTACTGCAGGCACCAAACACACTTTGCACGTCACCCGCCTCGAGCTCCGCTCAGCCAACAAGGCGAGTCACTAGTCAGGCTCCAAACGTTTGTCGCGCAGGAATGATAATTCTACGGCGACGGACGACTATTACGTAAGTATCCTTTACGCGCATTGTCGAACTGTGGCAAATCGCTGCCATTGCAACTGTTGGGCGATGTGGTACACTGGCTGGGCCCCCATGTTGAATGGCGCCCGTTTCCTACGGAACGCCTCGGTCACCAAGCAATGCCACGGGGACCATTGCGCCTAAGAGCACTTCCATAAAGAGCCCAAATCCCATCTGTTGGCCACATAAACCAACCCTCAATTTCTCCATGCTGCCACCCACATCGAAAACCTGCCAACAATTTCTCAATGCGTGGATGGCCGGTCCCTGCCAGGCCATAATCTGGAGTTGTTCAGCCTCGCCGGACTTTGTCCGGTTCGAGGCAGCTTTCCCGAAATTTCGCCGCACGCTTTGTCCATATTGAGGTGCTTTGGGCCAATATTTGCCGCACACGGCTGTCATGGTGGACAGCGATGGCCTCTTGGCTGACAGCGGCGTGGTAGCGAGCTGGTTGTTTCATTGTGTATTGCAACGAACTGGAGCACCCCAGGGCGAAGTCGTCGATCGGCGCGTGTCTGAAGTTGGGCCAGTTTGTGGTCCTCGAGCAAGATTTTATCCGTATTAGGGCACGTTTCAGCGTTTTCTGCTGCACAAATTGTCCGCTTTAGGGCCCCATCTGGCTTTCCCAGCCGGTCATTTGAACGTAATTCGGACGAAAGTGTGAATTCGGACACCAAGAAAATCGCTGCTCCACAGCACCCCCCCGGCGAGTCTCACCGATCTCTGGCTCCCGTACTTTGGGCCCAAATCACCGCAGTGGCCTCTCTGCCAGAGGCACCCTCCCCCCCCGCACGGGTGCGACACCAAGGGCCTTCGGGACCGGCCGGCAGCCCCACCGCCGTGGAAAAAAACCGTCCCGCGGCGAAGATCAAGCCATTCTGTTCGCAGGGCCCCTTCACCGCGCCCGCCGCGCAGCACCGGCGGAGGGCAGGCGGGCATGGCGACCGACGAGATTGTCGTCGCGGAGAATTCCAACGGCATCGAAGACAGGGGCACGCTGGTGGCGCCCGGCGGGAGCCAGAAGAAGCTGGTGGCAGCGTCGACGCCAAAGTGAGCGCGCCGGGGTTTGGCTGATGTTTGTGCCTCTGCGCTCAGCGCGGGATGTTGTTGGGTGGAATGGTAGCGAAGGGGTTGGACTACCCTCTTCCGTGCCCCTGGCCAGGTGGTTTGGCAGAGCGGTGTGACATCCCTTCAGATGTACCCAGTTCGATCCTCTCTGCAGTCGCCTTCTTTGCCCTCCGCTTTAAACAGCAGTGTGGCGGGAACAGTGACCGGTCGCTGGCGCCGTGGAGTCGTTAGAGTGAAGGGCGTTACTGGCTTTGGTCCTGTGCAACAACAGGCGATGTTTTCGAGTTGGAAACCTGGATCGCTTGGGTTGCGTGGGAGCGCCTCAGGGGCGCTGGCCTGGGTCGGTTTGCGGCGGCGTTCGATAGAGTGCACTCGAGGTTGGGCCGCCAACGTGGCCTTGATTGAAAAATGATGACCATGTTGCCCTGGCGTTCGCCTCAGATGACCCTGCCCCCAGCACCGCTGAGCCGCGTTCAATTTCTTCTGGGGTTGCAGCCTGGAGGATCTGCGGGCCCAGATCGAAGTCCTGCAGGAGGTCAACTCGCATTTGAACTCCGAGATCGAGCACTCCACGTACCAGCTGGACGGATTGAGGGAGGAGCGGGATGCATGGAAAAAGAGGGCGCAGGTGCTGTGCAGGATGCTGAACGACAAGAAGAAGGAGGAGGCCGAGGGGGGGTCCGAGATCCGGGTGGTGCAGGAGATGCCCACCGCGGAGGAGGTCGAGCAGAAGTGCAGGCAGGTCTGTGATTCGGGCAGGGAGGAAGAGATGGTGCTGGCAGGGGTTGACACGCACGAGCTGGTGCTGAAGGGACGGATGGGCGGCTGGCTGATTGAAGCAGACGAGGTGAGACTGACACATGGCCGCAGGACAATTGCTTGGCTGAAGCAGGGGTGCACACTGGTAGCCCACGTGGGAAGAGCGGGATCTGCAGGATAGTGTGGGAATGGTCAAGAATACTGTCGCACTCGGCTGAACTCTTTCTGTAAACGAAACTTGAATTGGCAAATTCCAACCCTCTCTTCTATTGTCTGGGCTGCATTCCCAGTGTGAAGGAAAGCCTGAACTCTTTGCCCAAATCGTTGAAGTCAACATGGATGTGGTCTTTTTTTGGCACTCTTGGTCTTGGGTCTGTAGCACAAGTGAATCCATTGCAGTTACACCGGTGACCACGCATTGGTGGAATGCTGTGTGGCATTTATCCACATCCACAAGCCAAGTTTTGTATGGGTTGGCACCCATTGGTGCCTCTAATGTAGTTGCAGACAGCTGCACATTTGCGGCTCAACACATATTGATACCCTTGCCATCCTGGTGCAATGAAAATCCGCATAGGGATGTTTGCAGTTTCCTGGTGATTGAAAAGCGCGCAATGCATGCAACAGTGCAAGAATTCGCCACTGGGGCGGCTGCCAGCTTGGTAACTCATTGCCTGCTTGTGACTGCCAGTATGTTGTTTCTAGCTTCGTCGCGGCAGCATAATCGGCGAAGGGGCGTTTGGCACAACCTATCATGGCATCTGGAGAGGGGCCCAAGTGGCAGTCAAGTGCGTTCCCGTCCAAAGCAAGGAGGACATGATCAGCTTCTTGCGGGAAGTAGAGGCTCTCGCCGGGATCCGGCATCCGAATATTCTTCCCTTCCTTGGGGCCTGCATAGTTGCACCAACCACGTTTTGGCTGGTTTGCGAATACATGCCGGGAGGCACACTGGGGAAGTGGCTGCATGCTGAGAAATACGTCCGCCGGCCACTGCTGAAACGGCTTCAGTATGCCCTGGAGGTAAGGTAGCTGCATTTCAAGTGGTTCTGTGTCCTGTCATATCATGTGATGGTTTGTTTGGGAACTCGAGCATGTTCCAGTGCCCAAGTAAGTTGTAAGGTCAACACAGCTGGTTGGCACCAGCACAGGCACACTATGTTGCTTTTGAAGACAAGCAATCAGATCATTGGGAGTTTAGAGCCAGGGTAATTACAATCTGGATTGTTCGCAGGGGTTGAAGGCAAGGAAGTTGAGCTAAATGACAGAATGCGTTGAACGAAGTGGTGCACAGTTGCTCAAGCTATGTTGTTAGATTGTTGCTGTTGACTTGTTTGCAATTGCTGTGCACCGCCCATGGCCATGTGGCTGCAACAAACGAGCATATGGTGCCAGGGTCATGCAAAGGGTCACAACCCAGAATGCCTTCTCAGATTTACAGTGCTGAGGATGGGGCGCTGTGTTTCTGCCCACCACACAGGTGGCACAGGGCATGCTTGCACTTGAGCGGTGTGATCCACCCATTTTGCACCGGGACCTGAAGCCCACCAACATTTTCATTGACGGCAGCGGTCACGCCCGGGTAGGAGACTTTGGGCTGGCAAGGCGACTTCCTGCCACCAACATATCTACCTTGACCAGCGAGACTGGGACCTACATGTACATGGCCCCAGAGATGGTCCGGCACGAAGTCTACGATTCGAAAGCAGATGTTTGGAGCTGGGGGGTGATGCTCTGTGAGCTGTGCACCAATGTGGGTGGCTTCCATTGCTGTGCCCTTAGGGCCGCCAGAATGCGTTCATCTCAACAGTTGTACTTGACACACTGAGGCTCTTTGCCTGGATGCCTGCAGCCAATGTTGTGCCATTGCAGCTCTGTTTCCCTTTGTCAATGTTGATGAGCATGCTTGCATCCATCCAGAGTCAAATGCATGAGAGCTTTTCTCTGGCCATTTCTGCAGGCTCAGCCATACCAGGGCAACTTCTGGACGCCGATTCAAGTTGCCATGGCTGTTGCAGATGGCAAAGTTAAGCCGCAGATGCCGAAAGACATCCACCCAGCCCTGACAAAGTTGGCAGAGCTGTGCTATTCACAAGAGCCTTCTGAGAGGCCCAGCTTTGAGTCAGTGGTCTCTGAAATGACGGCAATTCTGGAGGTGCTGCAAGCTGAGGTACGTGATGGCACCAGGAAGTTTGATGTGGCGGTGGCTGAATAATTGGGCGCACTTGGAATCGTGTTTGCTGTTGCATCAGTGCTTCATTTGCTTGTTCCCTTGTGCATGCATGGCTGCTTCTGCAAGACTGACAATTTAATGTCTGCACACATCACGCTTCACAAGGGCAGCAAACAGTTGTGGTCACCATGTCTTGTTATATATGGTGATTCTCCAAATGTCATTCCTAAAGGGGACTGCTGGCCTGCAAGATATTGCTGGGGCACGCTCCTGCGTGTGCCGTTGAAAACCACAAGTTCACAATGGACATACAGTGGGGGGGGCTACCTATATGGCGCCCCCTCGGTGGTGTCTGGCCCCCAGTTAACGCCCCGTTTTTTGGATTGGCACCTTTTCTGTAGTGCACTATGCAGTTCTGCTCTGCAATGGGACCTCATACCAGCATGCTGGACACTCACACGCACCCAGAAGAGTGTGCAGTAGATCTGCAACGTTTCGCTCGGCGTGCACAGAGTTGGGGAACCAATTCGAATGTTGTAAAGGTCTTTATGGTCACCATCAGATCACCAGTGGTGCCACACAACCATTCCCGTCATGCAGTGGCAAGTCAAGGTTGTAGTATGCCGCAAGTTTCACTACATATGGTTTGAAATTTCGGCACATTCGGTCAAACATTGCCTGGGGTTAAAAATTGGAACCCAGCAACAACATAATCCAGAATGCCATAGTCGTTCTGCAAAACATTTGCAAAGTGCACAAGAAAGTGAATGTACCGCTCCCTATGCAAGCTTCCACAGTGTGCTCAAATACTGTGCCATTGTGGCACAGGGTACACCAGTTTCATGGGTCCATTTGGCGTCTAAACAACCCCTATCATGGCAATTTGGCCTTCTCTTGTGCAAAAATTGATGCGCAGTCTCATTTGATGGGTTAAATTATGCACTCTCATTGGATGGTTTAAATTACGAGAAAAATGCATTAATGCCAGTTAGCGTTTTAGTACCCAGCCCCCAATAATAGCGACCTGTTTTTGGCCATGTCATGGGTGGGCGCTATATAGGTACCCCTACTGTATGTGTAGAATCTGAGTTTAATGCTGGTTGTTGCAATTCAGTACATACTGTTGAATTGTTTTGTGCAGATCAGGCGATTTTGCAAAGAATTGCTTTGTATATTGGAATACACCCTGACTACTGATTCCTATTCTGCCAGGCAAATGCCCAGGAGGGCAGTTTCTTTACGCGCATAATGCGGAGAGCCAGCTTTTCACAGAGAGGGACAAGCTTTTCTCAGAGTAGAACAGAATCGCCATGGGACGAAGGAATTGCAAGCACGACACCCAGCCTCAAGTCTTTACAATAGCCAATGGATTACAGGGCCAAGTGCTGCTATGGGCATGAACAAGCACACATGCAAAGTTCATTAGACATGGGGGGTGAATAGATGCCAGCCAAGTGTAGCATGTCAATCCCAATGTTAGTTTGGGATGCTACTGGATGGTCAAGACCTCAGGATGCGGCAATGCAAGCAAGAACAGTGGCGAAACTTCTTCAAATTGGGTGCCGGTTGTCTTTGCCTGCAGACAGTTGTGGCCAATGGCGTAGGAACAGTGAGACAATGCTCATGTGATAAGAAGCCAACGGGGTGGGTTTCATCAGGCTTGGAGTTTTGGCTTCTGCTATCACAATTCGATTGTCTGAGACCACTTGACAGCAAGCCAGTGCTCTTCTGGCGTGGAGTTGATGTAGCAAGGGTCTCATCAAAAGTGGTGAAATGCAGGGGTTCCCATGATTGCATGGCGTGGTGCGGTTGATAAAACTCAGCACAGCCCCCTTGACAATGTCCTTGATGGTCACGGTGAGGATCGAGCTGGATGCACAAACTCTAAAGCCAGTTGGTGTAGTGATGATTAATATGTAAGAAGCCTAGCCACGAAATGTCTTTAGCTCAGCAGCTGATCACATCCAGTGCGCACTGGGTGTCATGATGTCAGCAGTGCCTGTGACTCTTTTGGACACATTTGTTGAAAGCGACAAAACACAGAGCGTTGCAAGGCGATGTGGGGCATGAATCCACACACAACTGTCCAATATACGATCACCATGATTGCCAAGGCCCAAATTAACTCCACTGCAAAGTGCAGGGAATCGTTTCCTACCCTTCTGTGCCGAAGCACGCGAACCGCGGCTGGGGGCGACAACATCCAACTCTTGAGTGGAATTCAGCCTCCGCACTGAGGTGTCTGGGCAGGGCTCTCCTCCCCCGTCTTCTGTGTGTGGCCTGTGGAAGAAGGGAGCAGCACGTGCTTGCCGGGCAGGGGTGCGTGCTTTGTGTTAACGTAGCATGAAGCTGGGCAAAGCAGGCCTGCACTAACAGCACCTGACATAATTCCCCGCGTTTCCACGGCACCCTAGTGTTGGGTTAGTTGTAGGGATGGTACCTAGGTACAGGAAACCCAGTACCCGGGGCGGGTATTGTTTTTCCCTGCACCCGTGTAGGCGGGTATGGGTATGTACCCGGGTACAGGCGGGTACCGGGGGGTACTCGGAATACCCGGGTCTAATATTATAAGCTGGTAACGCGGCTAAGAGCGCCCCGGAAATGAATTTTTGCCGCCCCGGAATGAATTTTTAAAGTCTGAATCAGCGTTCTTGTGTAAGAATCGTCCCCTGTTATGTGAGTGGCGGGGCTCTTCGAGTCGGGACGGTTGTTCAATCCCCTTGGTCCCGTGGGATAAAGGGACAAAGAAACAAAATGCGCGCATCGTGCAAATGGGCGCATGTGCAAGCCCTGTCAACACCTTGTAAACATAGTCGCTTTCCAATGTGCTTGACGTGACATTATGCCATTGACATGTGCTTGGGATGGAGGGAGCGGAGGGGACAGGGGAAAGGGATAGAGGGGATAGAGGTAATAGAGGGGTTGGAGGGGTTGGAGGGGATGGAGGGGATGGAGGGGATGGAGGGGATGGAGGGGATGGAGGGGATGGAGGGGATGGAGGGGATGGAGGGGATGGAGGGGATGGAGGGGATAGAGAGGGGGTACCCGGGTATCGGGTGTACCCGGGTACCCAAGTTCCGGACATTCCGAGTACCCGGGTCCGGTTTTGCCAGCCCGGGTATCATCCCTAGTTAGTCGGTATGCATGGTATCGCCTGTTGTGGTAGCACAACGGTGCGCGTCGCGAACAGTGTGGACCAGACACTCCGCGAACCATTGGTACCACGCACCACTTCATCGACCCGTCACCCCCAAGCCTGGCGTCCTTGCTAGAGGGCCGGAAGCCGTGGAGTGCAGTCTCAGCGCGCTAAGGGAACCATGCAGTACAGGAACCTGGGGAGGACTGGCTTGAAGGTGAGAAACACGATTCGGCAGGGGAAGCGCGCAAACTGGACACGGCATGGTGCCCTTGGGATCCAGCGAGGCAGCCCGGCATCGGGTTGCGAATGTTGCTACCTGCCGCTCCTGTGCCAACCGACTCTCTCGCCGATCGGCGATGGTCGGAATGGCCTGTGTCTGTTGTGCTTTAGGATATCGACAGCGCGTCGCATTGCCCCGGGCGTTTCTGACTTCCTTCGTGGATTTGGCTCCAGGTCAGCGTGCTAAGCTTTGGAGCATGGGTGACGTTCGGCAAGCAGGTTGACGTCGAACAGGTGCGACCTCCAACAGCGTAGAAGATGCGAATCGAGCGTGCAGTTGTGGTTTTGGATTGTGGGCATCTGCTGGGCAAAGCAGCCACTTGCTGTTGAGATATCTGAACGGCGGCATCGTTGACATGCTGCATACAGCTATCCAGGGAGTGCACACTCGTGTCTGGAACAGGCCCAGTGTATCTGTCGCCCCCCTCCTGCGCCACCAGACTCGAGAGCCCGATGTGTGATGTTGCAATGGGTTTGCTGCAACTCAGATTTTGTGGCACGCTGCAGCGAAGCTGCAATGAATGAAATGCGCTTTATCGAACTTGTCAGCTGACACTGTCACTACACCCTGCACTCTCTGATTTTCAGTTTATTTGACGGTGCACAGCATTGTTTGAATGATGGCTCACATTGAATACAAAAGGAATGCACAATAGCAGTGCAGCATCCTGAGCAAGAATCTTTGCTCTCTTCTGATCTTCAGAGCCCACAATGCAAAAATTGCATTTGCTGCATTGGGCACAATGGTGTCTGTTTGCACACAGAGGCAATGTTTCTGATGCCTGTTTGGGTGAACCTGGACAGCAGCATTCATGCCCTGAACAGTTCAACACCATACACTGGCAACGGCAATGGCTGCAAGGCAGACCATTGGTCTTGAAGCATGCTCCCCGGGGCAAGGCTCCCATGCTCCTGGGCGCACAGCCCCTGTCTGATGCCATTGTAACTGGAACAGATACTTGGATGTAGCGCCAGGTGCACACTGCAGGTTGAACCATCATAGCAATTCGTGCCAACATATGCTGGGACTGAACACGTGCACTGTTGCAGGGCATCTGTGGGTGATCAGCATGCTTTTCTACTTGACGTTTTCTGCCTGTCTCACAGGCGAAGCAGCTGATGTTGAAGTGCTACGAAGGCGGAGTCAACTTGTGAGTGCAAGGGCACCCCTGTGTAGTGACAAGGGGGAGAGAGCTTATGGCATGTGCTATGTGCTGGGGATTTTGGTTGTGTGCATCAACGAGTTGTTGAATCTTGGAAGGCTCAGTGCTGCCCGTTTGGCTCATGGAGTTGCCGTCTGCAAGTTGACGATGTTTTTGTTGTCAAGCTTTGACAATGCAGAAGTGTATGCTGGCGGCCTTGCAGAGACAGTGATGGGACAGGCTATAAAGGTGGGGAGCCAAGTCTCTTGCAGTTATGCGTCTCACAGCTCATGGTCGACACAAATGACAAGCATTTGAAGCTTGATCGCGCATCGGTGTTCAGACGTGGTGTTGTCATCCATTGTGTACTGAACTGTCGATAAAGAAGCCCAACATTGTAAAGCTTGGAAGGCTCCCTGAAGTGCTGCTAACAAGAAAGAAGTATAGCAAGCGGTGAATAATTGCATTGGTTTGCAAGCGAAATCCTCAGCCTGTTGCTCATTGTTGAGGCTGATAGAGAGAACTGCAATCTGTGTTTGGAGTCTTGTGATACTACTGGGCAATGTTTTTGGGACCTGTGCATCACAGAAAAATCACAGAGGAAACTCACGAAGGCCACACAACAGTGAATTGCGCTCAACATCACCTAAACATAAAGTGCGCACCTTTGTCAAGTCTTGAGTTGAGCAATTGAAGAGGTCTGCGCATCATGGCTGTCTGCCTGTTAACTGCAGGAGCTGGGCTGGAAGAGATCCGACCTTGTCATCAGCACCAAGATCTTTTGGGGAGGTTCTGGTGTAAATGACAAGGGCCTGTCAAGGAAACATCTGATAGAAGGGCTGCAGGTATTGGGAAAGCACAGTTTGGGATCCTGCTTCTCTGTCGGAGCCATTGTGGGATCTGAGAAGGTGACTTTTGGTGTGGAGCAGTCAGCGAGTGTGCCTCAGACGTGCGAGTCACGAAATTTGCCACATCAGTGTGTTTGCAGCTTGCAGCGCAGTATCGTGTTGACATTCCTCTTGCTGGTTGTGTAGATGAGTGCCTTTTGCTGGCAGAACAATATGATGCGGATTAGCTTTGATGATTGTTGATTCGGGTTATGCTATTGTTGGGAATGCAGCAGCAGAGGCATGTTACCATGTTTGCTTTGGCTCTTCTTTTGGCTTTGGTTCTGAGATGGAGTTCCTTTCCAATTGTCTTTCTGAGGCTTTAAAGTTGTGTTCACCGCTTGGAGTGCTGCATGACGGTGCCTTGTCAGTGTTGACAGCACTAGTAAGGATAGTAACACATATGGCGAATATAGTAATTGTGAGGACGATTGAAAAGGATATACAGCTGATCAGGTAAGCATGCTGCAGATGGTGAATATGACGGAAAGTCGTGGTGCATGAAGGTGAATATATAGACAGTGTATGATGGCACATGAATGGCAATGATTCGGTGCTCAACGTGATGCTTAACATTTGAGTAGACAGCAGTTTCTGTAAACCATCCTTTGCAGCCTGCCTCTTGTGCCTGGGGGAGTCCGTTGGGGAGTGAATGTTCACTAATAACGCAACAGTGATACTGATAGTTGATTATGTCACTAGTATTGTCATTAGGACACAAACAACGGTGCCTGCAGAGGGAAGACCCAGCATCAAATCATGCAGCATCAATTCCGAATCTGTGCTGCACAGGCCTCTCTAAAACGGCTCCAGATGGACTATGTTGATGTTCTCTTCTGCCATCGCCCTGATGATTCCACGCCCATCGAGGAGACGGTACGGGCGATGAACTACCTGCTAGAGCAAGGAAAGATTTTCTACTGGGGAACATCGGAGTGGTCTGCAGCACAAATCACACAGGTACTCCATATCCGCTTATCCTTTGCTGGTCCACTTATTACTGCAGTGTTTGACAGTGAACCCCATGCTTGTGCAAAGGTAGTATCAAGGTTACCAATTTACGCTCCGATGAGGACAGCTGTGTTGGGAGATACTGTGTGGATGGGAGGTGCGCCAGCATATTAATATAATAGCATATATAGCATATATAGCATATATAGCATATATAGCATATGTAGCATATATAGCATATTAATGTGCTGCTATTTGCCACTTTGTGCAGATCACTTCTTACTGGCCTCTATCCACCATGACACTGTTGCCCTGGAGGAATTGTGGATGTCCTGCTGCATTGTGCTTAGCCGCTCTGTGCTGTCCACATTGAAATAATACACTGATTGAGGAGACCACAGAGGCGGTGGAACTGTCAGTTGGGATAGCGCAGCCGTTGCAAGTGTGAGTGCACACAAGACTTTGAGGGCCCCTGTGTTGCCATCCGAAATGTGTTCCCAAAGGTCAGTTTGCAGGGAGTTGAGCAATTCTGTTGCAGGCCTGCGAGATAGCAAAACGCCTTCACCTGGTGCCGCCCATTGTCGAGCAGCCAGAGTACCACATGTTTGAACGCACCAAGGTCGAGGTTGAATTTGCGCCCCTGTATGAAGAACAGGGGATTGGCCTGACGACCTGGAGCCCGCTTGCGTCTGGGGTGCTGACTGGAAAATACAGTGAGGGGAAGATTCCGGAAGGGAGCAGGCTGGCTCTGGACCAGTTCAAGGTGGGGACCAGGGGTTGCCTCCCTTGCTTTTGTTGCCCCCAACAGTAACTTTGTCAGTATATGTAAATGCCCTTCCCATGTTGGGCGATATCGCGATTCCATTGTGTGTTCAGTGTCTGTTTTGTGTTTAGAGACAGCAACTTCTTGTAACAGTGGTTATTCATGATACTTCAGAACTGCAGAAGTGTATTGGTATACTACAGAAGTATATTGGCATTTGGGAGTATGCCTTTGCTGATGTGTGACGGCCATGCATGGGCGGCGCCTGAGCTCGTACATGTTGTGTAATAAAATGGAACAAGGAAAAGAAACATAATGAAAGAGTGCACACCCCACCTCTTGTGGATGGCAAACTACATGTACATTGCGACTTCCTTGATTCCTTGCTGATTTCATCACAGCAAGATGAGAGACCATGGCACAGTTGCCTCAGGTGAAGATGATTCAATCATTTGTGCATGGCCGTGTAGATCACAGTGGATGGTGGCTAGAGGTTAAGAAGCCACATATATGTTAAGGCCATTTTGATGCTGCTCAAACCGGCTGCCCTGCTTCTTGGCAGGGCATTGGCATTGCTCTCGCTGCCTTCAAATTCCCCGGCGGCGAAGAAGCGAACAATCGTGCATGCAGCACTCCAGTCTTTTGCCTGGGTTGTTTTGGTCATAAAGCTCACAGTCTAATGAATTCGTTGATAGCTGAAGTAACATTGGGTGAAGCAAGCTATCTCAACGTTTGTCGCACACCAACAGCAATGCCTCAAGCAGCAGAAATCCTGTCTTTTGAGCACTGTTCAATAAAATATCCGCGCCTGCTCCAATTATCAATGGCAAAACAACCTGCGGTCGGCGATCGATCTGCACGGAGCTTGGCTGCAGTTTGGCGCAGCTGGCGCTGGCCTGGTGCGCTGCAAACCCTCACGTCAGCACCGTCATCATGGGGGCCAGCAAAGTTGCACAGGTGAGAGATGGAGCGGCGTTGACCTTGCCTGGACCCTTGGCGCCGCTGGTTCTGTTCCATGCCACTGCCCTTTGGTCGAATTGGAAATAGCTTAGGTGATGCAAGCACGCGTGGCAGTGCCAACTGGTCGCTACATTTGTAACGCTGATGAGCCAAATGCGCAACACGTGACTTGACTCCACGTCTCCCAATGCGCAATATCAGTTCAGCACATGCTCGTGTGTCGTTTGTGACGAGGTCCATTTTCTCTTCCACCGCCAGGCCCATGACAACATCTACTCATAGTTTTCGATGTCGCGGTGCAAAACCACTGGTTGCTTCGGTTCCTGCTCGCCAACTGGCGAGTACACTTCTTTTGATGTATTATCATCGACAATCGCTTCTAGGCAGTAGGAGCTAATAGACTCATAGATTTTGTTTGTGTTTAACAGTAGACTTCAACGAACTGATCGGAGACTCTGCTTTGCTCGGGCAAAATAGGAATAAGACGGCTACCTCATTGCCTTGTTCTGTTAAAATGATGGTGATGATGACGATGCTGAGTTCCTTAATTACATAGGATGATGATGGTGATGACGATGCTCGTGTGTTATTGAACTTATTTGCACGGCGTTGGGTTGACAGCAGGACAGTGGTGGTACGCGGTGGTATGCGGTAGTGGGGTGGGGGTCCAGACGCTTTGCTGTCCGCCTTCCACAGCGAAATGAGCGCAAACGAACTTTCTAGAAGTGAAGTTGTGATTGTCATCGCCTGGAAGGCCCAAGGGCACTCCTTTGCGGGTTGTTGAGAAGTAGGGTGAAGGGAATGGCCATGACGTGCACGTGCGGGTGAATGTGAGTGCATCCTTAACTGAAAGAAGGAAACCTGACGGCAAGGTTGCCTTTCCTAGCGTGCACCTACAACGAGGTAATGTCACGCGTCGCCTGCTGTTGCCAAATGTTTTCTGGCAGCCAAGGTCCCGAATCTCAGCCACCTCAGTGACTACCGCCCCAAAAGGTGTTTTCAAGCATGCATGTGCGCATGTGTGTGAGCTGCAACGGCGCGGAACCGTGCCGACTGTCGCCCTGTGTTAATGTGCTCACACTTTCTGGCTGTGGCGTGGCCAGATTGAGGACAATCTGAAGGCCATGGAAGTCCTTCCGAAGCTGACCCCGGAAGTCATGGAGAAAATCGAGTCCATCATCCAATCCAAGCCTTGACCCATTTGCGATCTTGCCTTTTAGAACCACTTGTGAATCTTGGAGATGATCAGGGGCGGATCAGCAAATATGGACGCAAGAGCAGTGCGTTCTGATGTATAGTATCCTTGTTTAAAGTCATGGAGTAATTGCTGCTGGTCGTGTGGTGTCGAGCTTGGGAGCCACAGCAGCCCAGTTGTGGATGTTTTCGAGAGAGCACACACCAGTCGACGCGTGAAATTAGACTATGCACTTGGCCCGCAGCTGCCGCCGATGGACCTAGTTCCACGTCACCCCTGAGGCCACGGTTGTTCAGGAAAGGCAGACATGCAGCGGACCTAGCGTTTATGCATTTTTCGCTGTCGCCGTTTGAGACATTCCAGAGATGCCATTGCGCCTTGTTCGTTTAAATACCTGTGGCAAATGGTGATTGGCCGCTAACGTTACTGCATCTTGTTACATTCATGTTCACACAAATGAGTGGCCCGAGCACTGAGTTGCTAAATTGGAGATGCCCAATGCAGAGAGCGGAACATTTTCGCACGTTAGGAGTTGTATTCGCTCCGCTGCATCTGTGGCATGCCGCATCGGTTCTGCCCCTTTCCTTGCTTCGTGCCATTCCATCCGTCAGACAACAGGCGACTACAAACGCACTTCCCACTCTCTGTTGCTGAAAGCTCAATGGACACGCAGGCGCCCCTGCTACAGACAGCTTTCTCAAGGTGCGGAAATGAAGCATCCTTTTCATTGCGTGTGGGACACCTGTACCTTTGGAACGCCAAAGTACTTTCTCCAAACAGCGTGTGCGTCTGGCCAATGGCGACCTCGCGTGCAGGTCACCGATCGGGTGCCAATTGGAGTGCAAGCGTCAACGGAGGAGTGATGTTCATTAAATGGGATGAAATGTATATAAATACAAGTGCCCACAAAAGAGCCCACGGATAGGCGCCCACAAAGCCTGCACACCAACAAAAAAGCTGCGCACCAAGTATGAGCAGCCTCTGCGCGGCAACCACTACTCTAGATGGAACTGAATTCTTCATCCATGGCCTGCTGGACGAACATTGCGTCAACGAAAGTGCATGACCATCGTCCTCAACGTCACAGCTGCCTCCCGCAGTGGAACGGCTCCGCCCCAAGCTCCTTTGTGTAGAGCGCTTCCAGTGTGTGTCATCGAGCAACTTCTGTTCTCAGGATGTTACTATCTTTGTCAGCCTTCAGCACCACCCTTGGGAGACTTTGTCGCCTCCCGAAAAGGCTTTGCCCACCGTGTGATAGCTCTTCCATTCCCTTGAGTTTGCGGAGCGCCCGCGACACATACCTCATTGCCATGTCAACATCCTTGGCCCCGTCCACAGGGTAGTTTCCATCGAACTCAACCTTCCCCAAAAGAAAATCCACTACGTGCCTATCCCACTGCAAATGAAAACCCTGCGTTGCCGCAGCAGTGCTGGCCTCCCCCAGACGCATTTCCAGGATTTGTTTCAAGTGCTTCTTTTCCAGGGAGAAATACGGAATGTACAGGTCGATAAAATTTGTGTTCTTGAGTGTGTCATAAAACGTCTCACAGCCCTCACCGCGCCAGTGATCGAAAATGAGATCCTTCAGCTTGTGGTGGACAGCCTCTGCCGACACCTGGTGCAAAGTCGCAGGCAGCCGTCGTGGGGATATAAATTGCGAGGTTAATGCCCACCACACAATCGCGGCAGGACAGCCAGCACTCACAGCACACAGATAAGCCACCTCCCTATACTCTTCAATGCCGCAATGATGATTTCCCCCCACGATCATCAATTTCAGCATCTCAGGCTTGGTGGTGACATGCAATTGTGTGAAATGCCTGCGCTGTGACTGGACTGAAAGATAATCTAAGCGCAGGGTCCGATGCAGTTCTTTTGCCTTTGTACTTGTACCAAAACCATTTCCAAGGAGGACAATTACGGCATTGTGCAGCAAAGCTGCCAACAGGTGCTAAGCAAAATTTTGCCGTGAAGTTCCCACATCATTCAACATCCAGCAACAGTTTCATCTCCACCAACAGGGGATGGACTTTCGCACAACATCATGAAGGACAATGAATGAATATGCACACACCTTGTTTGCACCACCAGCAGCCTCCAGCATTGTCTGCAGCTCGAACATTCCAAGGTTTGACTCAAGGAGGAAGATTGATTTCCCCATCGAGACGTTGGCCCTATCAGGGTTCATGACCAGTTGGCGCAGCATTGAGCGCGTTCCACAGTCCAGCTTGTCATATTCCTCAACAACCACAAACGACTCCTGAAATGCCTTTATGTGGTCAACTATTGCATTCCTTAGAGCCTGTCTCTGTTGATCCCTTTTCGACTCCACAAAATCCATACCATAAAGCACCTGCAGCATGCAGGGCGATCCAATCACTTGCTGTTGTCAGAAAGAGCAAGGCAGATTGGGCCATGAGTACCACACGGCTGCCGACTCACTCCCTGGAGCACAGCAGTGCCATTTCACTGTCCTCACGCACTTGCTGCAAATGAAGAAGGTCAAGTTGGAGTAACACCACAACACAGGCGGTACATATGCCCACACAGTTGCGCCTCCTGCACTCACATTTCCATGCAAACTCAAGCATTTTGTGGTGCAGGCATTGCATGAGCTGGCATGGCTCATCCAATGCAATGACTTGTCCGATATAAACAAATGCTCCACGGGCATTTAATGCCATTTCACTGCCCACCAGACTGGGCTTCCCCCTGCCAGATTCATCTGAGCAGGCCACGCCTATTCCTGCTGTGTACACAGTCTGTCCACTGCAGAAAGCAATATGAAAACGCCTGCTCATGGGCTTGATGCCCATCGGCTGACATTCTCTTCTTTCATGCTGAACCACACTTCATCTGAATGGGCAGCCCATTAGCCAAACCTGGCGCTGCAGCAGCCTCACCTTGTATCCAGCACACCCCCTCCCTGGGCACTCCAGACTTGACTGCACCCTTGGGATCCCCCAGCCACTCCAGAATCCATCGGGCCCAACAACCTCTGTGGATCTGGCAGCGCCTTCCAGCCCATAGAGAGCCCGAGCTGCAAGGGTGTGAGTCAACGTCTTGCCCACGCCCGGTGGCCCATGGACAGAAACCACCAGCGGCTTATTTCCCACAGCGCCTGGGACACAATACACTTCACTGAAAATGACATGGGCTGCACAGGAGCCAAGGATTCTTGTGCAGCACATACCGTCAACAGAGCTTGAAAAATCCGTACCCTTGCCCCTTGGAAATTTGATGGGCGGTAAAGTTGCATAAGGTGCTTCTTTGTGCTGTGCTATTATCTCAAAGACCTGGCTTACTTAGTCATCTTGTGCAAAAGCTGCCCAAGTGGCAAAGAAACCTGCCTTGTTGCTCAAGAGTGCCCAGTGTCTTGAAATGCTGATAATGTCACTGTCATTCTTTGATCGACTGCCTGACAACCCCCCACCAACCCCACAAGCCCCACCAGAACTTACAATTTCCTGCACCCCTTTAGCATTATTGCAATGGCTGGCATAGGAGTTCGCACTTGTGCAGAAGATATGCTATGCCTGCTATACCATGCTTGCTTAGGAGGGGTTTGCTCCGTTGTATGACCTGTGCTTCGGAGATTTTAACGCATCTTTTGCAGAAAAGATGCACACTAGGACCAATGAGAAGAACAACGAAAACCTTAAATCTCGAGCTTGAAGCATGTCTCGGGTTGCGAAGCAAATGGATGCAATGCCCTGCCAAACATTGCGACGCTTTACGAATGCTGCCCACCTCTGTTTTCCTTTCGCAGGTGCTCGCACACTGCTTCCACAAACTGATCGATGGCCAATTCTTGCCCAACGACCCGCGAATTCAGCACGGTGTCCAGTCGATCACATCCGTCACGAGAGAAATGCTGATTTCCCGCCGTCAAATAGAGGGCGGCAATGGCTGCCACCACAGCGCCCACTGCGCCCATCGCAAACATCCTTCCCTGATGAGCCCTCTTGCGGCCAGAGATCAGCTTGTGCCCTGTCCCTTGCTGTCACTGTTCGTTGTTGCTGTTTACGTGGCCACTGCCCCACTTCTCGACTCGCGAGGACTCTGCAACCGGAGACAATTCCAGGCAAGGCGTTCATTCGCGCAGCAGCCCCCAACAGTGGTTGCACAACGAGTCAACAGCGTTGCGCACTGTGGCCT